GTGGAGGGGTCCTAACCACCTGGGACTACAGGTGGGCTGTCTATGGTCTGAGTCCAAAACTGAACCACAGGCAGGAGGAGCCAAGGGGTGGGGAGGTGTGCTACTGTGAGCCAAGCAAAGTCCTTGGAGTTTTCCTGTATTTTCTGGAAGGACACAAAATCCAAAGCCAAATGCTGGAAAACAGGAAAAGAAAAGTAGTTAAGATTCTCCCCAGTTTCCTGCAACATTGTTGTTGAAAGGTCACAAAAGCACAGTTTGATACTACACCGAATTCAGTTCTTCAGAAATGCCGAAAACAACAGCAAACATCCATGTTAGACCTAGGCATCCACATTATTCCAAGAACCTCATAGCATCCTTCATACATTGCCCTTTTCTCCTAAGTCTCCTAGTTGGACATTTCCTAAAAGATTTTTAAAAATTTTAAAAGCTTCCTTCTATATACCACAGTACTCCATTGTCTGCTTTCCAAGCTCCAAAAGCTAACAAAGTTACAGTTCTATTACCTAATCTCCAGACCTTCATCACATTGAGCTAGTAGTCCCACTATAATTGGGGAAAAGCAAGCCAAGGTCATCCATTGCTTTAAAAGGTCATGTCTCTCTCATCTCCCTTAACCTGTACCCTTCCTGAACCTGTCTCTCATCATACTGACTCCTACCTTTTCCCTCCTTCCCTTCCTTCCTTTCCTTCCTTCCTTCCTTCCTTCCTTCCTTCCTTCCTTCCTTCCTTCCTTCCTTCCTTCCTTCCTTCCTTCCATTCTTGCCATTCATGGGGCTTGAACTCACCCTGGGCACTGCCCCTGAGCTGCTTTTACTCAAGGCTAGCTCTACCACTTGAGCCACAGAGATACTTCTGGCTTTTTCTGTGTCTGTGGTATTGAGGAATAGAACCCAGGGCTTCATACATGCTAGGCAAGCACTTTACCACTAAGCCATATTCCCAGCCCCTTCCTTCCTTCCTTCCTTTCTTCCTTCCTCTCTTTCTTTTTTTCTTTCTTAACTTTCTTCCTTCCTTCCTTCCTCTTTCTCCCTTCCTTCCTTCCTTTCTCTTTCTCTCTTTTCCTTCCTCCCTCCCTCCCTCCCTCTCTCTTTCTTTCTTTTTCTTTCTTAACTTCCTTCCTTCCATCCTTTCTCTTTCTTTTTTCTTTCTCTTTCTCTTTCCCTCCCTCCCTCCTTCCCTCCCTCCCTCCCTCTCTCTCTCTTTCTTTCTTTCTCTGTGCTGGGGATGAGAACCAGGGCCTCACGCATGCCAGTCAAGCCCCCTGCCACTGAGTCACATTCCCAGTCACCTGACTCAGCTTCTTGAAGGGAGGGCCTGAACAAAGGGTGTGCAGCCTGTCTAGCTCAAGTCTAGCCTACAAGAATGTAAAACACCTGTGTTCCACCACACAAGGCTCTTGCTTTGCCACAGGGAATGGATTTCCTCGTCCCTGACTACACAGTGCTGAAATTGTCCCCCTGGCACGCCTCCTCCAGGCACTCATACTGCTGCATCTTCTCAGGCAGAGAGGTTGAAAAGCCCAGCAGGGACCCAGTCCCAGGCTGGCTTCGAACCTTGATCCTCAGATCTTAGCCTGAGTAGCTAGGATTACAGGTGTGAACCACTTGCACCCAGCTAGAAATGGTTGGGGTTTTTTTCCTTTCCACTCTGTATACCCTTTATTTCCTTTTCTATTTTTTGTAAAAAATAACGTTTAAAAAGTAATTGACCATTATTGGCATCTCAGCCCAATCTTTTTTTTTTTTAAATATAGACTGTAATCTTGATATGAGTATTAATGGAATATTGAAAATCCAGAAGTGTCAGTGCAGGCTAGAAAAATGCCATTTTTTTTTTGGGGGGTCGGTTGTGGGGCTTGAACTTTATGCCTGGGAGCTGTCCCTCAGCTCCTCAGCTCAAGGCTAGCACTCTACCACTTGAGCCACAGTGCCACTTCTGGCCTTTTCTGTTTATGTGGTACTAAGGAATTGAACCCAGGGCCTCATGCTTGCGAGGCAAGCACTCTACCACTGAGCCACCTTCTCAGCCCCTGCCAAATTCTTTAAAAGGAAAAAAAGGTGAATGCTGATCGTAGATTTTAGAGATGTGAGAAGATGAAAACGTTATCTATTGTTTTTGTGTTTGCCACAAAGGAATGTTTGATTATTTTGCAATGTAATAAAAAGTTACCCCCCCCCCAAAAAAAAACGTAATTAACTGTGATGTTTGTTTCACTGCCTTGTTTGGAACTTCTAGCACAGCAGCAGACAGGAGCAAAGAGTAGACATCCTTCTCCTCCCAGGGGGCATTCTGCTTCTTGCCTCTATCAAGTGTGATGTGCGGCACTGGGCTCTCCTTGAGACCCTCTCTTGGGATGAGGGAGTTCCCTTATGTGGATATTCCACTTCTTTGTGGAGTAAGGGGACTCTGGTACTGGGGATTGAAACCAGGGTTTCCCAGCCCGTTAGGAAAGCACTTTAGCATTTGAGCCCCAATGGCCCCTCCCCCAACTCTGCTATTCCCACTGAGTGTTTTCATCCTGAAATGATATTAAATTTTGTTGAATGGTTTTCTGTGTCAATTGAGACACATCATCCTACTGACAGAGTGCATCACATGAATTGATCTTCAGATATCAATCCAACTTTGCATTACTGGAACTAGTCCCACTTGATCACAGGAAGTTTGGTTGTTGTGGTGGTTGTGGTTGTTATTGGTGTGTGTACATGCACATTCTCGCTGGGAATTGAACCCAAGGCCTTTTGAATGTTAGTCAAGTGTGTTACTGCTGAACTCTAGCCCCAGCCCTTGGTGTTTTGAGACAGGGTCTTCCTGTATAGCCCAGGCTGATCTCCAATTTTTAATCCTCCTGCCTCTGTTCTCCAGAACACTGGGATTCTATAGACATGTACCACCATGCCCAGCTTTTTTATATTTTAGAAATGAAGTGTCCATGAACTCAACACCCACACAAAAGTTAGGAGCATGACAATCAAGAACATGACAGCCATGCCATTTTCCTGTCCCATCACTCTGATAAGCTATCACTTTAGGTCTTATATTCATCATTCCCTGCCTCCGCTCTGTAGAAAGTTTCATTGCATCAAGGCATATTCCTAAACTTACTTGGACTTAATTTAAGTCTTAGCTCCTTAAAATGTAGATAAAAACTGTGCCCTTTCCCCACTTAGTATTTGCTGGGTGCACAGAAATGGAGGGGCAAAGGGTGAATAAATGCAGCAGTGGTATTCACTAGACACTATGTGGAAAATGAGGGTGGGAATGGGAGGGGAAAACTGGGAGAGAGAGAAGGAAGGGGTGACATTGTCCCAGAGGAAATGCAATGACTACCTGACTTTTGAAGCTGTAATTCTGCTGTACATCACTTTATAATAACAATGAAAACAAGCCAGGCGCTGGTGGCTCATGTCTGTAATCCTAGCTACTCAGAAGGCTGAGATTTGAAGATCACGGTTGAAAGCCAGCTCAGGCAGGCAAAGTCTGTGAGACTCTTATTTCCAATTAACCACCAGAAAACAGGAAGTGGCGCTGTAGCTCAAGTGGTAAAGCGCTTTTCTTGAGCTGAAGAGCTGAGCTGAAGAGCACCCAGGCCCAGAGTTCAAGCCTCACGATGGACAAAAATAAATAAAATATTTAAGAATATTTGATTGCTAAGATTAAAAAAAGATATTAGAGTATGTTGATGGGATTAAGCCTTTTCATTGCTGTACAGTATTTAAATGTCTGCCTATTATGTGAGCCATACTAAAGCAAAATCTTAACAAGCCCAAATCTGAACTCAAATTTACCATAAGTCAGTACTTCCTGCAGCCTTCCTGTTGTGGCTAATGACAGCTCCACTCATCATGAGCGCCAAATCCTTGGAGTCAGCCTGGACTGTTTCCTTTCTCACCCTACATGAGAGTCTCTGGATTCTGCCTTCAAAGTGCATTCAGAATTCAATTCCCTCTCACCACTAGGCTTCAAGCACCCATCAACACCTGGATTGCTGTCATTATCTCCTAACTTGGTGTGTTTCTGCCCCTGTCCCTCCTCAAATGATTTCTTTGCTAATAGAATCTTAGCAAATGTTGATCTACTCATATCACTGCGGAGCTCAACGGTCTCTGGCAACTTCCCATCTCTGAGCAAATGACAGTTCTCTTTCTATGATTTCCAAAGCCTTAGGATGACCCATGGATACTTCCAGTGCCTCAGGGCACCGTAAAAAGAAAAGAGAAGGAAAGCAGGGCCAACAAATATTGATGTAAAAAAATATAGAGACTATATGTGACCATTTTTTTCCAAAATAAAAGGAAAGGAAGGGGAAAGAGAGAAGATGAAAATTTTAGTAAACAATGGTTCTTCAGACGGTGGACGAGAGCCCTGGCGTTATCATCCACGCATTGACTGGAGGAAAAACGAGAACTTTCCAAGGGCAGAGCATTTGGGTTGGGGGGAGGGCCCCGTGGAGAGCCAAGGTGGAATCAGGGACCAAACGTGCGCCTCGAGCTCACGCACCGAGGTAACATGGATTCGGACGGAAAACTAGGAAGCGCGGCTCTGATGCGGGGTCTCCCCGGCCTCTTCGGCCCGAGAGTGAAGCCAGGCGCTCTGGGATCCGCCCCACCCGAGGGCGGTATTTTGCGGCTAGGACTCGGGCCGAGGGTCGTGGCGCCTCTCCCGTCGCGGAGGCAGGAAGGCCGGGCGTCGGCTCCCCTGCGCCCGGGCTGGGTGTCTGGTCGTCGGCTCGGGTTAGAGCTCGGGGAGCCTCCGGGCCGTCTCAGCCAAGGCGACGCGCCTCAGCTGGCCACAAGAGTGTGCCGGTGAGGTGCCCGCACCCCCCTCCCCCCGGCCAAACCAGAATTAGCCGGTATGAGAAGGAACCGGCGAGGAGGGCTGAAATCGCGCCGATTGGAAGAGAGCCGGGGGTAGGCGCGGGCCCCGCCGAACGCACCCGTTTTAAAGCCACCCGGACCCTCGGCGCCGCCCCACGTTCGCCGGGCCGCGCCGCGAGCGAGCGAGCGAGCCCGGGAGCCCCGCGCCCCGAGCCGGGTGCAGACCCGGGCCGCCCGCGCCCCGCACCTCAGGATGACTGGCCACCTGCAGACGAATCTCCACTGCCAGCCGCCCGGGGGGCTCGGAGCCGAGCCAGTTCGGGGGTCGGGGCCGGGAGCCGAGTGAGGCCGCAGCCCCGCGCGGCGCGGGCGGTGAGTACCCCCGGATGCAGCGGCGCGGGGCGAGCCCAGGGCAGCGTGGCTGGGGGGGGCGAGGGATCGAGGGAGGTGAGGGGGTCAAGGGGCGCGGGGAGGGGCTGGCAGGGCGAGGGGCGCAGGGGTGGGGTGCCGGGCAGCGAGGACCGGCTGCCCCCACCCCCGCGCGCTCTGCGCCCCGCCCGGGCTCGCTCCCCGCCGCGCGCCAGGCCCTAGCTGGGGACCCCGACATGACAGGGCCGAGGCGGAGAGGAGACCGGGAGGGGGTTGCGGCTGGGGGTGCTTGGGCTGGCTCCCCACTAGCTGCGGGCGGTGTGAATGGCTCGGGCTCTCCGCGGCGCTGCCGGGCTGCGGGGTGCCCTGGGTGGGGATGCGGGCGCCGGGGTCCCGCGGGGCGAAGACCCGGGATCGGAGGAGGCACCCACGTGGGGCGAGGGACAAAAATGTGGCGGACGACCCAGACGGCCAGGCCGGGGCTGCCGGCTCCCTCAGCCCGCCGGCGTCGGAGGAGCCCCGCGCGGTTCACTGAGGAAGTCCTGGATGCGGGCTCGGCCCCCAGGGTGGCCGCGGGGCGGGAGGACCGCGCACGGGCAGCCGGAGACCCGCGTTCGCCGCGCACGCGCGCACGTGTGCGAGTGTGAGTGTGTGTGCGTGTGCGAGTGTGTGTGTGTGTGTGTGTGTGTGTGTGTGAGGCTGGACGGATAGATGGATGGACGGATGGACAGGTGGGTGGGCAGATGGCGACAGCCCTGGAATCCTGCAGACCTGGGTTCGGATGTGGGCCCCGCTCCTGACAGTCTGGCCAGGGTTTCCATCGGACCATTGGCTCCGGTTCCTCGGTGAAAGGAGAGGTTTGGAAAGGATGGTAGTGGAGAGGCCTTCCGGCACCGTCCTGACCCGCGGGGTCGCTTCTTCTAGACCCTCTGCGCGCAGCCGGGTGGGCCGAGTACTGCAGCGCCGTCCCAGCCTGGATCCCGCGGCTCCCGCCACCGGGGCGCTGGGCCCCGCGCGCGCCCTCTACTGGCCAAAATACCTCTGGCAAAAGGTAGCGGGTCGGATGTCACTCAAAAATGAGGCCGTCTAAAACACAAAACAGAAGAAAAAGTACGGGGTGTGGCCCAAGTTGCGCAGCGTTTGCGTTACAGACTGGAGGCCAAGAATAGACCTAAATTATACATACATGTGTGGCCATATGCAGGGTCATATGTCTATCCACCCAGACACAGTAATTACAGTGTGGTGTATGCAGGGGAGGGTTCTAATAGTGAACTCCTTTGAACAACTAACTTAAAGCTTGACGGAATGAATACCAGAACGCTGGAACGTGGGTTCGGCCAAGGGACGGGGTGGGGCAGATGAATGGAGAGAGGAAAAGTGGTCAAATACAGTCATAATATTCAATGTATATATGTGAAAATGGAACTAGGTAAATTGAGGGGATGGGTGGGGTTGGGAGAGATAAGGGACAACAATAAAGGGGTGACACAGATCCAGTGATTGGGCTCACAAACTGAAGTTGAACTGAAACACCTTTGTGCAAGCATTTAAGGATATTTATAATATGTAATATAGCGTATGTGTTGTACATATACTAGCTATATACGAATTAGAAATATATACATATACTATATATGCATATGTATTATGTTGTACATATTACATATTAAATATACTATATATATGTGGGAATTCAGTCCCCAATACAGGGGCCGGTTGGGGGGGGAATGAGGGCGCAGGTGAAGCCACTGCAGCCCTGTGTCCCGTGAAGGAGTAAAATGCAAACAACTATCTTGAAAGACCTTCCTGCCCAGCCTATCCTTCTGTAGCAGGCTGCAGTGGAGACTGGCTAGAACCCATTGTTACGCCTCTTGAGTAAAAATGGTCTGCTAAGTGATATTCAATGTCATTAATTTATGAATAGATAACTGGAAATGCCCAGAACATTCTGATGGCAACTGTACCTCCTAACCCATAAAATAAATAATTCAGGAAGAATATAAAGTTCATCACATTGCCTTAGAAAAGCACTTAATATTTCAAGAAAAGTGCTTATACATCAAATACTTTTCTGTGGGTTGAAAAGCTGCAACTTTATAGCAGGAGCAGTATTGCAGACTTTTTTTTCTAGTTGTAAATGGACTTGAGAAAATATCTTCTTCAATACAGCTGAGCCTTGCCTTCTATTGTAAGTTGACACAGTCATTCACGAGGGGCTCTGAGAGCGGTGTCAAGCGGCCCACCTCTCGTTCTTGTTCCTTGGGATTCTGCATGTAACTGGTGAGAACTAGGATTACCACCTCCCCTCCCTCCCTCCTCCCCCTCCCCCATCGGTAGTGACTAAGGGCCCTGGTGTTGTCTCTGTGTTTTGTTTTTTTTTTTTTGGTCTTGGGGCTTGAACTCTGGGCCTGGGCGCTGTGCCTGAGCTCTTCAGCTCAAGGCTAGCACTCTACCACTTAAGCCACAGCACTACTTCTGGTTTTCTGGTGGTTCATTGGAGATAAGAGTCTCACGGACTTTCCTGCCAGGCTGGCTTTGAACCTTGATCCTCAGATCTCAGCCTCCTGAGTAGCTAGGATTATAGGCATGAGCCACTGGTGCCTGGCTTTCTGAGCTTTTTCATTCAAGGCTTGTGCTCAACCACTTTGAGCTGCAGTTCCACTTCTGGTTTTCTAGTGGTTAGTTGGAGATCAGAGTCTCATAGACTTTCCTGCCTGGGCTGGCTTTGAACCGTGATCCTTTAGATCTCAGCCTCCTGAGCAGGATTATAAGCATGAGCCACCAGCACCTGGGTCTGACTCCCTTTCTAGCCCTAGGCAGGCTCCCACTTTTGGAAGGAGCTAGGGGCACACGCAAGAGCGTGCACGCACACACACACATGCTTGCACACACATATACACACATCGACTCCAGCCTCAAACCCAAGATAGACTGGAAGACTTCTAAAGACAAATGTCTCTTGAATTATATCGTTTTTCTCTCTTTTATGATTAAGCTACTTATTTAGAAGCAAAAGACTTAGATTTTTCAAAGATGGAAAGGAACCTCCATTTTCCTATTTGCTTAACAATATACATTTATTTAGGATTTCTTTTTGCTAATAAGTAAGAAGGGAGACATTTCCTGAAAGACCATCCCCATGGAGAGACTAATCCCTGTGTGGCTCTCGGCTGCTTTTCTGCAGATAGGTTTGGCCCACAGCTCCACAGGGAAGGAGGTGTGGCATCTGCACATCTTGTAATCCCTGCCCCGAGTTCCACCTTGGCTTGGCCTTTCTCTTATCTTCACAGATGCATTGTTGAGCTAGCTCATAATTGGTTAGTTTAACGGCACAGTACCTTGGTGTTGGGTGTTAGCAATGTTTTCAGGTTGGTTCTTTTTATTATTGCAAGGTTATACTCTTAGAAGTTCAGTTGGATATTTTTTCTTTTCTTTTTTGGCAGCACTGGGATTTGAATTCAGAACCCTGCACATGTTGGGCAGGTGCTCTACTACATGAGCTGCAACCCCAGCCTTTTTGCTTTCATCATTATTCAAGCCGGTTCTCACATTTATGCTTGGGCTAACCGATACTTCTAGCCACTTACACACTCTTCCTATGTTGTTAGAATGGCAAGTCTTACTACTACCATACCCTACTTTTCATTGGTTGAGATGGTATCTCTCCAACTTTTGCCTAGACTAGCCTCAAACCATGATCCTCCTCATTTTTTCCTCCTGAGTAGCTAGGATTACAGGCATGAACCCCTGTGCCTGGTTAACCTAGTTGACGCTTGAAGTGTAAGAGACTACACAGAAGGTCAAGATATGAAGATTAAGATTTGAAGCCATCCTAGCCAGACAGACATCTGTAAGATTCTTCTCTCTGAATAACTAGCAAAAATCCAGAAGTGGAGGCATGGCTCAAGAGGTAGAGTACCAGCCTTGAGCAGAAAAAGCCAACTGAGCTGGGCACCAGTGGCTCACGCCTGTAATCCTAGCTCCTCAAGAGGCTGAGATCTTGCTGCGGACCGGCTCTGTCGGGACGACGGAGGACACCTAGTGGAGGAACTGGAATAGGTGGGGAGATGGCAAACAGACAACTCACACACAAGAGGAGTGGATGCTGAGTGCGATTTAATGCAGAGGATAACAAGCTTTTATAGCAAAAGTCTCCATGAGAAAGGGGAAAAGGTTACACAATCTTGCTGCAAGGCTTCGTTCTTGGGTGGTCACCAGCTGGTCGCCTGATCTTGTTTTTTGGATGAGGAGCTATGACAATAGGCACTTGTTTTCGGCTTTACCTCTATTTTTAAGAAATACAATGGGTTTCGATGTTTATCACCTATTAACCATTAACCAGAGCATATGGGTGCTGAACAGAAAGGCATGAACTCTAGTACTTCATAGTTACTTTTGTTTAGTTTTGTACTTTATACGTTTCAAATCTTTTCTAAGCAATTGTGCTTAGAGGGTTCCCAATTTGTGGCCAAAAATCATGATATTCAGTATACTTAGTTAAATCTGGCCATATGTCAAATTCAAGCTCATAGTGTCTTTTCTGTAACCCTTTCACATAATCGTTTACTCTTTTCTATAGAGGCCTTAACTGTCTCGTAAGATCTTTCTTATTCCTTCTTTAATAGTAAGCACCAAGGAGGCCTAGATCTAGCAAGTCTCTCAGTAAGTGAAAGAGAGTAATAGGAAGTTCTTTTTTCTAAGTAGTTTACCCAACGGTTGCCATCCTTATTATACACACCTGTAACAGGCTATGGATCTGGGGGAAGTCTCTGGGGTCCTCTAGATAATGGAGGATCCCACCATTTTCCTCTGATAAGCCATTGCCACCTTTTATCTACCAACCTTTTTAGGAATCTTATTTAGCTTTTGGTCTAAATATCCCTCTACATCTTCCTTATCTACAGGATATCTATATGAATCTATTGTATATGTTTTAGGATTAAAGGGAAGTCTCCAATAGCCATACACTCTGTCTGCTCTAGCCGTGCCTACAGCTTCTTGTAAATCTCTTACAAACAATTCCTTCTGCTGAAGTGACGTCATGAAACCCCCAATACTTTTATATTTACTTATGACTTGTCTACTAGCCTCCATAAGAGGGGCTTTCAGGGTAGCACTTAACTCTGGTGAGTTAGTCATATTCTCAGGACACTCATCAGATGTTAGAGTCATCATCACTTTTAAGAAAGAGCCTTGAATAAAGGAACGTTGAGCATGAGTAAGTACAATAAGCAACAGGAACAGTAAAAGATTAATAGGCGCTCCTATACAGCGAAGAAAAGAAAAACAGCAACACATCTTTCCCAGGGGCTTGCCAGCCTTTTCCAGGAGGTAGGCCTCTTTGAAACCCCATTCTCAGATCTGAAAGCAGGTTTCCCATGCTAAACAGACTCCACCGGAGTAGCCGTGGCAAGATCTGAGGATCGTGGTTCAAAGCCAGCCCAGGCAGGAAAGTCCATGAGACTCATTTCCATTGAACAACCAGAAAACTGGCAGTGGCGCTGTGGCTCAAGTGGTAGAGCACTGGCCTTGAGCTGAAGAGCCTAGGCCTAGAGTTCAAGCCCCATGAACAACAACAACAACAAAAAGCCAACTGAAATCAACGAGGCCCTGAGTTCAAGCCCTAGAACAGGGGGGAAAAAGTATAAGCCCAGCAATGGTGGCTCACGCCTGTAATTCTACCTATTCAGGAGGCTGAGAGCTGAGGATCAAGGTTAGAAGCCAGCCCAGGTTAAAACAAAAAAATCTAGGAGACTCTAATCTCCACTTAACCAGCAAAAAGCTGGAAGTGGAGGTATGGCTCAGGTAGTAGAGTAGCAGTCTCGAGCAGAAAAAGCCAAGCAAGGTCACAAGGCCCTGAGTACAAGCCCTGCTACGTTTCCACACCAGGTTTATACCTCCCAGCCTTGTACTAGGTTTTACTACTTTAAACCTTCAGCAGAAATGAAATCTTTAAGTGGGGCGTAGTGGTGGAGGTGAGATCACTTTTATTTTGTCACAACCATAACATGCTGTGCTGCTGCCTATAGGCAAAAAAAAAAAAAAGTGATTGTAAGTTTTAGCCCAGGTGCCAGATGCGCCGACACTACTATACGCACTGTGCAATTTAATGCAATTCAATCCTCCTGTCTAAAGTGAAAACAGAAATTCTCCAAAGAATACTGATATTTACTTGGGAACAGCAGAGCACTGGAATAGGTATTTAATTTGCATTGAATGAGATGGGCGCTGGTGGCTCAAGCCTGTCACCATAGCTACTCAGGAGGCTGAGAGCTGAGGATCAAGGTTCAAAGCCGGCCAGTGCAGGAAAGTCCTTGAGATTCTTATCTCCAATGAACCACCAGAAAACTGGAAGTGGAGTTGCGGCTCCACTCAGGGACAGCGCTCAGGCCCAGAGTTCAAGCTCCACAGCCAACAACAACAAAAATAGATGAATGAAAGAGCCTAAGAAGACATGTGAAACTCAACATGCTTGTTTGGAACTTAGAGGAGCAAAGCAAGCACTGTTTCAGGGGGAGGGGGCATCACCCGGGACTGTCGAGAGCTGCTGGCACTTAATGAAGCAAAGCAGAGCAACTGAGGCGCATGCGGGTTGGAATGCGCTACACACCTGACTATTGCACGGTGTGGGGCAGTGCCCTTGGCTGGCACCGTGCAGCCCTGTAGCCCACCGTGGGGTCTTTGGAACTGCCCAGCGATCATGTACTTTTCTAGGCAGCATCACTTCCTTGACCGCGAACATGGAGGCCCCCGCAGTGGCCTAACTCCCTTGTTCACCAGTGACAGTCTGCCATCTTAGCTCCATCTAGCCTTCCTCTGCCATCGCTCCTCCTGATCAAGACTAACACAGCCCATGGGCTCCAGAATCAATTGGTATCCTTGATGTCTTCACGTCTTCATTCCCTCCCTCCCTTCTCTCCTTCCCTCTCTGGCGGAACTGAGATATGCCACACACTTGCTAGGCAAGTTCAGCTACACCCCCTTTTTGCTTTCATTAAATTTTAGATGGTCTCTTTCCTTTTCTACAGAACCAACCCTGGACCAGGATCTTCCTACCTTTCCATGAAAATGAGGACAATAGGTGTGAACCACCACTCCCAATTTGTTTGTTGAGATCGGGTGCAGTGTTTTGCCTAGCTTAAACTTGAACTATGTTCCTCTTGATCTCTACCTGCTGAGTATCTGAAGTCACTATCTGTTTTTCTCTTTCTTTCTCCTTTCCCTTTCTCCTTCCTTCTTTCTCTCCCTCTCTCTTCATCTCTTTCTCTTACTCCTTGGGAAGTCACTTCTTTTCTCTGAGTCTTTCCAAGATTATAGCCAGGTGCCTGTGGCTTACACCTGTAATTCTTGCTACTTGAGATCTTAGGATTGCAGTTCAAAGCCAGCCTGGGCAGGCAAGTGTGTGAGGCTCTTATTGTTAGTTCACCACCAAAAGAGCCAGAAGTGGAGCCATGGCTCAAGTGATAGAGCACTAGCCTTGAGCAAAAAAAGCTCAAGGATGGTGCCCAGGTCCTGAATTTAAGCCCCAGGACTGGGCACAATCAATCATGCTTACATAGGATGCCTATATATGGGATGACTGTAAAGAACAAACAGGTGTCATAAAGAGCACGTGACCTGTGAGAAGGAGCATTCCCGAATCCACATGGCAGTGATGAAGCTGAACCCCAGGTGCTGTTGGAGGCACTTGGCGCGTGATGGAAGGTCGGGCTGGGAATAGAAGGTCGGGCTGGGGATGGAAGGTCGGGCTGGGAATAGAAGGTCGGGCTGGGGATGGAAGGTCGGGCTGGGGATGGAAGGTCGGGCTGGGGATGGAAGGTCGGGCTGGGGATGGAAGGTCGGGCTGGGGATGGAAGGTCGGGCTGGGGATGGAAGGTCGCGCTGGTATCCAAAGATGATGGGGATTCTCTTTGGTTTTGACAGTCAGTGGAATTGTTTGCTCTGTGTATTTCAGAAAAGCTTGGACCATGTATACAAGTCACGAAGATGTTGGCTATGATTTTGAAGATGACCCCAAGGATAAGAAGACACTCAAGCCCCACCCGGACATTGATGGCGGCTGGGCTTGGATGATGGTCCTCTCTTCTTTCTTTGTGCACATTCTCATCATGGGCTCCCAAATGGCCCTCGGAGTCCTCAATGTGGAGTGGCTGGAGGAATTCCAACAGAGCCGCGGCCTGACAGCCTGGGTCAGCTCTCTGAGCATGGGCATCACCTTGATCGTGGGTATGTTCCTGGGCAACTGTCTTAGAGCAGGGATTGTAGAATGCCAGGCCTCACTGCCAAGAGTGCTCTCTATTGCTGAGCCATTGGACAGGAGGTGTTACCCATGTCACTCATAGAAATATACAGGCTCCATGGTTCATGCCTGTAATGCTAGCTACTCAGGAAGCTGAAAGGTGAGGATGGCTGTTCAAGGCCAACCCATGCAGGAAAGTCTGTGAGACTCTTATCACCAATTAAGCACCACAAAAGCCAGAAGTGGAGTTGTGGCTCAACTGGAGTGCTAGCCTTGGAAGAAAGCTCGTAGACAGTGCCTAGGCCCTAAGTTCAAGCTCTAGGACTGGCACATGGATGTGTTGCACGCGCACACACACACACCACCATTTTAGCCATGTTTTAGGTGTATAGTTTAGTGCTATTAAATTCCTTCACAAGGTGGGTAGCCACTATCACCATCCATCCTGAGTACTAGCTCCCACCTGAACTCCACCTGCTGCACCATTCCATCTCCTGTCTCTTGGCATTGTCTGTGGAATTAGAATGGTACACTGTCATTTCAGTGTGATGCAACTACTTGAATGTTGTAAATATTGGAAGGATTTTAAAACGTAATCATTTAAAAACATTCTTTTGTCCCAAATCTAATTTCTGAAGTGTTATGAATCATTATAATCATGTATTATCTTTAATGTTTATTTTGTTTTTGAGACAGGGTCTTACTATGTAGCCCAGGCTTCCTTCAATCTCAAAATCCCTCTGCCTCAGTCTCATAAGTGCTCAGATTGCAGGCACGTGCCACTATGCCCAGTTCTATTTAATATTGATGAATATATAGTATATAATGTAGTGTTTGTGTATGCTAATCATATACTAATAGAGACTGCGGTTATTTCCATTTGGATTTTTAAAAAGTTGTTTCTGAATATTACCTTCTATGCTTAGTTTTCTCTGATTTTGATTTTGCATCTTGAAACTCTTTCTTCATTGATCAAATCCTTTGTCAAGAATGTTCTTTGTGGCTGTGAGGAAAGTCAGTAGCACATCTGTAGACTCCAGACACTAAACGCCATGGCCCCTGCACGGAGCCAGAGCCTCTCCCTGCCCATCTGCAGACCAGGGCCATTTCCTAGCAAGATGAGCAGAGTGAAGAGCAGGAACACAATTTCCTTGACCTGCAGCTAAAATGGTGGGTTTCTTCTAATGTGGTTAATAGCTACCAAAACCCAAACCAGAACTGGGAGGAAAATAAGTCACCATGAGTGCTTTTTCAGATTCACCGTGCTTCCTCTTTCTCTGCCATTTAAATGTAATTAAAAATGAACAACAAAAATAAGTAGGAGGGTCTGCTGTAGTTGTTGATGTATTTCATTTAATCCTAACAGCATGGTGAGAGAATGATTGCAACCATTTCATAAAAGAGCTTAGGAGAGTCAAGTGACTGGTCTCCAAAGTCACACAGACAATGTGTGGGGAAGGGCTTAGGTTCACATGCATGTCTAAACCCTGTCCTGATGCTCTGGCTCCTGAATAAAGCTCTGTGTGTGTGTGTATGTATATGCATGCGTATGCGTATGCGCACATGCACACGTGGCACGCGCATGCACAGAAGCTTGCTTAGCTTTTTTGCTCAAGGTTGGCACTTACCACCTGGGTCATGCCTCTCTTTCTGGCCTTCTGCTGATTAATTGAAAAGAGTCTCACAGACTTCCCTGCCCCTAGCTAGCTTTGAACAATGATCCTCAGATCTCAGCCTCCTGAGTGGCTAGGATTACAGGCATGAGCCACCAGTGCCTAGTTTATTCTTGTATTTTCTAATGAGCCTAACCATTCAGCAATCTTAAATAGGTAAAGATTCTAAACCGGGAACTTATTATGTTATTATGGCAACAATGATCACGTATGTGGTCATTTCCCTTATGTTGTCCCATTTAATATTATTTCACTCTCTTGGCAATCCTCTGAGGTAATTATCACCACTATTCTCTGATGATCTTCAGTTGTTTCACCTGAAAGTAAAAATTCTGATAGGGTTTTTTAATTTAAAAGTTTCCTTTTTTTTGTGTGCCAATCCTAGGGCTTGAACTCAAGACCTAGGTGCTGTTTCTGAGCTTTTTTGTTCAAGGGTAGTGCTCTACCACTAGATCCACAGCTCCACTTCTGACTTTTTTTTTTAGTCGTTTATTGGAGATAAGATTATTCTGGGGGCTGGGAATGTGGCTTAGTGGAAGAGTGCTTGCCTAGCATGCATGAAGCCCTGGGTTCAATTCCTCAGTACCACATACACAGAAAAAGCTGGAAGTGGTGCTGTGGCTCAAATGGTAGAGTGCTATCCTTGAGCATAAGAAGCTCAGAGACAGTGCCCAGGTTGGCAAAAAAAAAAAAAGGCAAGCAAGCAAGCTTGCATTAAAAAAAAAGATTATTCTGGACTTTGCTGTTCAGGGTGGCTTTAAACCTGGATCCTCAGATCTCAGCCTCCTGAGTAGTTAGGAGATTACAGGTATTAGCCATCAGTACCTGGCCAAAATTTTCCTATTTTATACAGGAAACTTTTAAAGGCCTCCTGAGCTTCTCTGGCTTTGTGAATATGTATTAGACAGGCATGTGCATGTGTGATTGGAATCTCTGATTTCTACACTACTAATTAATTGCTCAATTATAATTCAGAGAGCTGTTCCTCTTGGCTGGCATTTACTATAAGTTATTCTGTCAATGAAACAACATGAATGACAACAGCAGTGCTAATGACAGAAAACAAGACAAAAGGTTATTTTCCACGCTGTGGTATGCAAATATGTGTATCTTCCCCCCCCAAAAAAAAATAAGAAATAAAATTAATACTGAGCTGGCTTTCAAATTAAGGGCACGACTTTGGGTGTGAGAGAATTACTGATGAATCATTTTTATCTGAAATATTACTAACAGACTCCTTGGATTCTATGCTGGTTTTGTTAACACTGGGACTTGTAGAAGGAGATGTAGCTCTAGTAATAGAGCAACAACCATGAATGAAAAAGCCAAACAAGGAATGTGAGGCCCTGAGTCAAGCCCCAGTACCAGCACAAACACCAATACCAAACACACACACACACACACACACACACACACACACACACACACACACACACACACAATACTGGGAGTGTTTATCATATGACAATTGCAGACAAGTTCATCTTATCATGGGGAATGTTCTGGGATTTATGTGGGTTGTCATTCTGTCTTCTCCATAGTTACAGAAGAAAAAAACCATTATGTTTCTACAAAATATAGATCAACCTAAGAAATAGATACATGTACAAACAACAACAACAAAAAACAACCAACTAGAACAGGCCAGTATTTTCAAACTATCCAACGAGGTTGTCTTGGATACAATTTTGTTTCACGGGCTATAGAAAGAAGCAGGAAGAATCCAGTCCTGAAGTGGTTGGACATGGTTTTGGAGATGCACTCAGAAATGGTGAAATGCATGATCATTTTTTTTTTCTCTGCCTGTACTAGGACTTGAACCCTGGGCCTTACACTCTTACTTGGCTTTTTCACTCATGGCTGGTACTCTACCACTTGAGCCATACTTCTACTTCTTACTTTTTGTTGGTTTATTGGAGATAAGAATCTCTTGGATTTATCTGCCCTGGGCTAGCCTTGAATTGAGATCCTCAGATCTCAGCCTCCTGAGTAGCTAGGATGACATGCGTGAGCCCCTGGTGTCTGGCCTAGTCTAACATTTCTAGCGTCCTGCTGGATGAGCCTCGTTTGCCCTGGAGCTCTGATATCCTAACACAGCAGGGTGACCAGCAATCACTGTTCGTTATCCTAAGCGGTCTGGTACAGGCTGGCTGCAGATAGGTTGAAACAGAACTTTTCCAACTCAGGAACCAGCATGATGGCTCTCCTTTATTTAGCATCCGCTCTCCATCCAGATGCAGAAGGCCGGTCTGTCATTTCTACCTAACAGAGGAAGAACAGGTGCTGCTCGCAGACACTAAGTAACTTCCCAAAGGGGTCAGCCAGTGAGTGAGTGGGATGGCCTGCCATGCTGGTTCTCCATTGCCTTCTGCCTCCCACCCCCGCACGTGAGAGCTGGACAGAGATTTGAAGTGACTAAGGCTAAATTGTTTGCATTGTCTGATCACTGGAAGCAGTCTGGGGTTACCTCTTTTTCTCCCATTTTTATGAGCGTATATTAGTTGCACAAAGGGGTTTCACTGTGCTATGTCCACCTAGTGCATGCAGCTGCCCTAATCGAGCAAAAAAAAAATAATAATCCAGAAATGTAGTAGAAAGCCATCTCTTTCTTGGTAGTGATTTGCATACAGTCAATTAATAAATGCATGCATTCATTCTTTTTTTTTGTCAGTTGTGGAGCCTGAACTCTGGACCTGGGCACTGACATTCAGCCCTTCAGCTCAACGCTCGCTTGAGCCACAGCAACCACTGCTGGTTTTCTGTGTTTTATTGGAGATTAGAGTGTCACGGACTTTCCTGCCTAGGCTGGCTTTGAACCAATGATCCTCAGATCTCAGCCTCCTGAGTAGCTATGATTTCAGGCGTGAGCCACAATTGCCTGGCTCATTCATTCTTTACTAGTATGGGTTTCCCAGTATCCCAACTTTTCACAAAATGTAACCAGCTCCTATCTCTGCCAGATGGCTCTTGGAATAAGTCTGGGTGCCATATTTGTTGGGGGAAACCCATGGGCTACAAAAGATGATGTGGTTGCCAGTTGTGGATGTACATCAGAACTACCTGGGAGGCTTTTAAAAATTCTGACGGTACCTGGTATCTCACACCTGTAATTCTAGCTATTCAGGAGGCTGAGATCTGAGGATCATGGTTTGAAGCCAGCCTGAAGCAGGAAAAGTCTGTGAGACTCTTTCCTCCAATTAACCACCCAAAAGCTGGAGGTGGAGCTGTGGTTCAACTGGTAAACCACCAGCCTTGAATGAAAAAGCGAAGGAACAGTGCCCAGGACCTGAGTTCAAACCCCAGTACTGGCATACACAAACAACAACAAAAACAAAAGTCCTGTTGCTCAGGCTGCATGAAACCAGAATCCCCAAAGATAGGCTCCAAGTAGTAAAAAGATTTTGTTTTGTTTAAGTTTCTAAGTGACTCCAGTGTTCAGCTAAGGCTGGGAGCCATTGATTTTTAAGTACTTAAATCATCACCAAAGTAAGAGTTACCCTAAGAGACCTAGGTTTCAAAAGATTGGTTTTCCTTTCCCCCCTGACCACTGGCAAGGTTCAGGGAAAACCTCAGCTTGTTGTTCTTCTCCTGTGCTTTTCGCAGCCTGTCAGATGCTTTCCTTGAGATGCCTTCCTGAAGCAATTTCCTACAGCCTTTGGACCCTATGCTGTGTGGGAAATGGCCAAGACTCAGATTTCTTCTGTAGAGTTGGAGTCATGCTTGCAGTCTCCTTCCAATTCATCCAGTTGCTCACCAAAGAGGGAGGCATGGCCAGAGCATTGTCTCTCGCTTTCCTTATTCCCACTGCAAAGTGTGAAGGGAATTCTTTTCATTTTCATATGATTGGATCTTGGCATTGTGGCTGGCCATCAGTGAACAATGGTTAGAAAATATGAGCTAGAAAGCTTGGCTTTGAGTTATTTTTTTTAATGTGTGCTATTTCATAACAGCATTTCTGGTCTGAGGTTGCCCAATTGCAAATCGAGAAGAACTGACGTGCCAAGCATGAAAGAGCTGTTGGTCTTGGTGTGATGGTGAATACCTATCATCACAGCTACTTAGGAGGTGATCCTGCTACTCAGGTGGTTGAGATCTCAGGATCTGAGTTCAAAGCCATCCTGGGCAGGAAAGTTTGTGAAATTCTTTTCTAGAAATAACCAGCAAAAAAAAAAAAAACCTGGAAGTGAGAGTATGTATGACTCCAGTGGTAGAGCTCTAGCCTTGAGCACGGAAGCTCAGGGACAGCATTAAGCCTCTGGCTTCAAGCGCCCCAGCCAGCACAAAACTAAACTAAAACTACACGCAGTCTGGTCCAGGGGCTCACACTGTAATCCTAGCTACTCAGGAGGCTGAGATCTGAGGATTTGGGTTTGAACCCAGCTTAGGCTGGAAATCTATGAGATTCTTCTGTTCAATTAACCACTGAAAAGCTAGAAGTGGAGCTGTGATTCAAGTGGCAGAGTGCTAGCCTTGAGCAAAAAAGCTCAGGGACAGTGCTCAGGCCGAGTTTAAGCCAGGACTGGCACAAAACAACACACACACACACACACACACACACACACACACACACCTTAAAAGTTTAAGAATGGGAATTTGGGTCTGGTGGTAGAATATTAGTCAGCAAGTACGAGGCCCTGTGTTCAAATCCCCAATAATGCCCAAACAAAAATAAACACAACAGACTGTTAACTACATATGGTTTAATCAGTAAAGTCAATACCCTCTGTCTGATTTATAAAACTCCTCTGCATATATTTGACTGATGGGATTTCTTTCCTCCCTCAAATGCCTTGTTAGTATCGTATTTCACAAACATCAGCATCAGAAAATTTTCTGTAATGTGAAAAACACTGAGCTATTGCACAGTGACCTTTGACCTTTCATATCTTGAAAGGGCACACCAATGAATCATGCATTTTTCTTTTTATGGTCAGTCATCCAAGTTTGGCTTGGTCAAGTGAATATGGATTTAGAAAAATGAAAGAAATATCTTCAACTTAAGGAATTTTTGATTGCCCAACCACCAGATTCCTTCAGAGTTTTATATCCATGGGCTTAATTTACATTGTATGTGTGTGCCAGTCCTGGGGCTTGAACTCAGAGCCTGAGCCATGTTCTTGAGCTAATGTTCTACTACTTGAGCCATAGCTCTACTTCCAGCATTTTGGTGGTTAACTGGAGATAAGAATCTCATAGAGGGCTGGGAAGGTGGCTCAGTGGTAGAGTGCTTACCTCGCATGCATGAGGCCCTAGGTTCAATTCCTCAGCACCACATAAGCAGAAAAAGCTGAGTGGCACTGTGGCTTAAGTGGTAGAGTGCTAGCCTTGAGCTGAAGAGCTGAGGGACAGCACCCAGGCCCAGAGTTCAGGCCCCACGACTGGCAAAAAAAAAAAAAAAAAAATCTCATAGACTTCCTGCACAGGCTGGTTTGGAACTATGATCCTCAGATCTCAGCCTCCTGAGGAGCTAGGATTGCAGGTGTGAGCTACTGCTACATATATGAGAAGTCTTTACATTCAAGATGTTTAGGATAGAGCAGTCTCAAAAACACTAGCTAGGGCTGGGGGCATAACTTCGCAATTAAGTACTTGCTCTGAGTCTCACATGCATGAGACCCTGAATCCAATCCCCAGCACCACATATGCACCCAAAAACAAACTAGACAATAATTGACAGACTGTATATCCAAATAGGAACATAAAGATAGCTGGAATGTTAAAAAAAATAGTTTAGACTAAAGTGTTTTGAAACTTAGAGCTTGATTAGATTTTGACTAGTTCACCTTAATGTTAAGGTAAATAACTACATAAAGTATGATGCCCAGCATGGTGGTGCATCCCTGTAACCCCCTGTATCCAATCAAGAGGCAGACACCGTGGGATCTCAGTTGGGGACTATCTCAGCAGCAAGCCAGGCACGGTGGTACAAACCTGTAATGTCCGATAGTAAGGAGGACCAGCGACGGGCTAGCCTGGGCAAACGCAATAGACTCTTACCTGAAAATCCGAAAGCAAAGCGTTTGGGGTGTGGATCAACTGGTAGAGCGCTTTGAGTTTTCTCTCACCCCAGTATCTACAACACAATAATAAAAAATAAGGAGCTGTTCAGAATGTGCCATCTTTCTGAATCATGTTGTACTGGTAAAATCTGGATTGCTATTTGAGCACAGACTATTGATCATAAGGCAAACATTCAGCTTTGAAGAAATCAGAAATCACCACAAAACCAAGGAGAAAAATCAAGGAGACTCATGTTTAAAAACCAAAGCTGCAGGCAGATCCCAGTGGCTCTAGACTACAATCCTAGCTATCTTCAGGATCATGGCAGTTCCAAGACAATCTGGGTAGACAAAGCTGAGAAACTCTTACTTGCAAACCAGCAAAAAGCTAGCAGTGTAGCTATGGCCCAAGAGGTAGAGCACTAGCCTTGAGCAAAAAAAATCTAAGCAAGAGCATGAGACTCCAGATTCAAGCTCCAGGACTGGCACCAGATTGGAAGAGCTAAGGAAGGGATTAGCATGTAGTACATTATATAGAACTGGTTGCTAGGCAACCCAGTTGCATAGTGTACATCCTTGCACTACAAGGTGAGTTCCTGTGTTTCTACACTGTCTTAAATGCATAGCCTGTTGGGTCCAGTCAAGGACCTGGAGAGTCAACAGGGACAGAATGTGGAAGCAATGATCACCAGCACTTTACAGCTTGATTTGTGTTGTCATGACAACAGGTCCAATCAAGGACCTGGAGAATCAACAAGGACTATTGAAGCAATGACAATCAGTACTTTACAGCTTGATTTGTGTTGTCATGACAACAGGCTGAACGCAAAGGAGTTCAGAGAACTCCCTCCTTGTACTCTTTTTGGACATGGGGTCAAAAGCTCAGATAAGTTAAGAGAGCAAATAAATGAGGCAACTGAGGCAGGGAGGCGAGTATGAGGCCAGGGGAAGGGGCGAGACTGTGACGCAGCCCAACAGGGCCATACACCACCATGGCTCCAGCTGCCTGGAGCTCTGTGAAAAGCTGGTTTGGGTTGTCATTAGTGTTTTGTTTTGCTATGTGAATTTTTCTTACTGTTTAAATATTGCCAACTGATTCCAAACGTTTTCCAAAGTTTGTTTGGAGTCAGAAAAATGCATCTACAGAATGAGCATAGCGCCTCGACCACTTGAGGAATGAGCCTCTGTGTGTGTGTGTGTGTGTGTGTGTGTTATTATCAATTCCTGCTGCTGTCTGATGGCTCTCTGTCTCTCCCTCCCTTCCCTCTCTGCATGTTAAAAGGGTTTCATACTTTCATTTTTTGTTTTGTTTTTCCTTGTTTTGGTGCCAGTACTGGGGCTTGAACTCAGAACTTGGGTAGTGGGCCTTTAGCTCTTTTGCTCAAGCCCAGTGCTCTATCACTTGAGCATAGCTTTCCTTCTGACTTTTTAGTGGTTCATTAGAGATAAGAGTCTCTTGGATTTATCTACCCTGGGCTGGCTTTGAACCAGGATCCTCAGATCTCAGCCTCCTGGATAGCGAGGATCACAGACATGAGTCACCAGTGCCTGGCTTGTTTTTGCCTTATTTAAAACATCCCTAAGGTGTTATTCTGTGTTGGCATGAGGATTTCGTAAGGCAGCAGAGAAACCTAGTCATCTTCTTTTCTGATGCTCTGTGGCAGGGCCTTTCATCGGCTTGTTCATTAACACCTGTGGGTGTCGGCAAACCACCATTGTCGGAGGCCTGTTGAACTCGCTGGGCTGGGTGCTGAGCGCCTATGCAGCCAACGTGCAATATCTCTTCATTACTTTCGGGGTGACCGCTGGTAAGCATGTTCTTTTTATAATCTGTTTAAATGATTGCTAGTTGCTGTTTTGTTGTTGTTTTTTGTTTGTTTCTATGGTACTGAGGAATCCAACCCAGGCCCTCATGCATGCTAGGCAAACACTCTGTGGGACCTGAACTCTGGGCCTGGGCACTGTCCCTCAGCTCTTCAGCTCAAGGCTAGCGCTCTACCACTTGAGCCACAGCACCACTTCCAGCCTTTTCTGCTTATGTGGTGCTGAGGAATCAAACCCAGGGCCTCATGCATGCAAGGCAAGCACTCTACCACTGAGCCACCTTCCCAGCCCCCAAGCCCTCTTTTTATCATTTTGTATTATATGTTGTATTGGGCATTTGGGCAATGGACTTCGTGGTGAAGAAAAGAGACACACTAACACATTCCTGTTCTGCTCCCCAGCCCCGCCCCATAGCTCTGATGTCACATGTGGTTTCAGGGTGGGAAACTGACCGAACCACTGTGTACCTGGCCTCTCAAAGAACCAAAGTCAACTTTAAACTTCCTACACCAGCTTGGAAATGTGAGACCACTCTCCTAGAGGAAAAGAAGAGTTGAGGACACTTAGTTCAGGGAATAGATAAGTTGTTAAGGAAATGAAAAACCGTTTTTGCATTTAATCAGATGGAGGATGAATCACAGAATGACTCTGCTTTCCGGGCAGTTGAAATTAATGAAGGAGCAAGTCACGCACACGCAGGAAGGAGGGATTCTAAGAAGCAAATCGTGAGCTCAGCGAGGTGTCATCCCAGGGACAGATTGAAATTGACTGCCCAGTAGTTGGCTGTGTACTGTGAAATGTTTTCCCAGCTGTAATTTCCTTTATCAACAGGTACAGCATTCAAACACCTAATGAGTTACTTCCCTTTGCAATTATGTGTCAAAGAACCTAAACCAGCCTGATCCTTTTTGCATACAGAGCTACAGTCCCCCTGATAAATGACAAATTGGACCTGTGTTAAAAATTGGTTTGAGCCAGGCACTGGTGGCTCATGCCTGTAACCCTAGCTACTCGGGAGGCTGAGATCTGAGGATCATGGTTCAAAGCCAGCCCAGGCTGTAAAGTCCGTGAGACTCTTATCTCTAATAAACTGCTCAGAAAAAGCTGGAAGTGGCACTGTGGCTCAAGTGGTAGAGTGTGCTAGCTTTGAGCACCAAAGCTCAGGGACAATGATCAGGCCCTGAGTTCAATCCCCAATACAGGTGGGGAGGAGTGGGGAGTTGGTTTGGAATTCTGGTCTTTTGTTGGGGGTGCCAGTACTGATGCTCAAACTCAGCCCTTGGATGCTGTTCTGAGTCTCACAGACTTTCCTGCCCAAGATGGCTTTGAACTGTGATCCTTGGATCTCAGCCTGCTGAGTAGCTAGGATTAAAGGTGTGAGCCACTAGCTCCTAAGCTCTGGTGCTCAAAGCTTAGAGGACTATCACTGAGCCAAAGCTGATTAATTGGAGATTAACTGCTGATTAAATGAAGTTAATTGTCTCAAAGACTTTCTTGCCTGGGCTGGTTTCAATCCATGATCTTCAGATCTCAGCCTCTTGAGTCGCTAGGGTTACAGGCATGAACTACCAGCTCTTAGCTAGAAAGATCATTTTGGAAAGATGTTATTCTGGCCAAGTTTTTTTCCCAGGGAAAATCCAGAGGAAGCCTCTGGAATCAGCACATATGTAAATGGAAAACCTAGCCAAAGCAGTTTTGGGTTCCCTATGCAAAGTGTCACTGTGTGGTCATCAGTGAGACCCACTGGTGTCTGATTCTTATGTACAGACAAGAAAAATCACATGATTTACATTTAGGAGAGACTTTGTTGATAGTCTTCTTCATTCCAAAGAGCATTTGAAGCAGATCTATATAATATATATATATATATATATATATAAAACTATATATTACTATATATTAAATATTATATATAGTATTTAAACAATTCAACTGCCAGGGAATGCCCTCCAACCAAACAGATGGACACCCCTCTGAGCAACCTGCCTCAGCCATGGAATTCTAGGCAAGTTTCTACAGCTTTGCCAAGCTTTGCCTGGCTCCTAAAGGTACTATCTCTCCGTCCATGCTGACCTGGACCATAGGACTCTGTCTCCCTCTGGACATCTTTCCTGCCCAACCTGCCATTTCCATGCCTCCTTTAAACTGTGTCTCAAGAGCTGGCCCAGAGCCCTGCTCTGATATTTTGGAGGCTTTAAGTAAGTCTACATATCCCCTATGCTTTTGTGAGAATTGTGCTGATTATGGGGAGCAGAGTCACACACTAGTCCCTCACGTCTATAATCCTAGCTATTCTGTGGAGATGGGGAGGAAGGGGGGGGGGGGGGAGAGGATTGTAGCTCAAGGTCAGCCCAGGCATAAAGGTTGTGAAACCTTCAACCAATAGCTAGGCATAGTGGCATATGTAGGAGACTCACAACTCTATGCCATCCATTCCAAAAAACAAAAGAAGTTCTTAAGACTATCTCATCAGAAAAGGCTTGCCTGGCACCCAACTATGGTAAGAAGTATAAATAAGAGGACTGCGGTCCAGGGCTGTTCAGGCTACCAGTGAGACCCTATTTCACACATAACCAGACTGGTCCAGGACAGTCTAGGCTAGGAATAAGACTCTGTATCGCAAGTAACCACAGCAGGGGTGTGGCTCTGTCAGTAAAGAGCTAGTCAATGAGGGGAAGCGTCAGATACCGAGTATGAGTCCCAGTCTTGGAAAGAAAGAGAGAAAGAAGAAAGAGAGAGAGAGAGAGAGAGAGAGAGAGAGGGAGGGAGGGAGGGAGGGAGGGAGGGAGGGAGGAGGGAAGGGAAAGAAGGGAGGGAAAGGAAGGGAAGGAAAGAAGGAAGGAAGGCAGGTAGGAAGGAAGGAAACAAGGAAGGAAATAAGGAAGGACACAAGGAAGGAAACAAGGAAGGAAGGAAATTAACTGCAGCCAAAAGGGCTTCGGATATGTCTCAAGAGGTAGAGCATTGTCTAGCAAGTGCAAAGCCCTGAGTTCAAACTCCAGGACCACCAAAAAAAAGGGGAGGAAAAAAAAAAAAAGGGGAGGATGGATGCTGGTAAGAGCATGAATGGGCTTCATAGCAGAAATCTGATGCATGTAACACTGGATGCAGACTTTTTTCCTCATACGTGGAAACATTTATAAATTTTTATTGTTATTATAAAGGTGATGTACTGTCGGATGAAGAGTACATTTCTTTTTGTAAATGTCACCCTTTCCCTTGCTCTCCCAGTTTTTCCCTCCCATCCCCACCTTCAAGTTGTATAGATCATTTTCAACATAGTGTCGTGAGTGCCACTGCTGCATTTGTTGGAAGCATGTATTTTATACCACGTAGAATTAACATTGTTCTGCTCATACCCATCAGTCCTGTTCCCATGGGTCATTTTATACTATGGCTGCTTAGAAATCGATAGCTATATGAAATTTAAGGTGTTACTAGCATGGTGGTAGCCGCCTGCAATCCCAGCACTCTGGAGGTTGAGGCAGGAGAATCACAAGTTTAAGGCCTTTTTCAAAAAGAACAAAAACAAAATGTAGGATGTTAATGACCATAATTGATAGATCATGTTCTTAATTAAACTATTTTGTGACATTGGCAAAATCTGGAGTGTGAGGAAATTCCACAGAACAAATGACCCCGTTTCTTCAATAAACAGACTGCAAGGAAAAGAAGAAAAAGCCAACAGAGACTCAGCATAGGTATCAACAAAGCAGCATGTGGGTCTCCTTTTGATCCTGATTTAAGCACACAAGTGCTTGTATTTTTATAAATAGCTATCTATGAGACATTTGGAAATTTGAACATTTTCTGGATATTTGAGGACATCAAGGAATTGTTTATTTTTTTATTCAAATGAGATGATATGATTATGCTGCTTAAATAATTCTGACATTTGGAGATTTATCCTAAAGTATTCCTACATAAAATAATATATTCAGTATTTGCTTCAAAATAATATGGAGGAGGTGGTAACAAAATTGGACCTGAGTTGCTAACTGTGGAAGTGATGGGTATATGAAAATTCATTAAATCGTTGTTAAAACCTTACTTTGAATTGGATTTAAAATGTTTCATTAGCCAGTAGCTTGTTGTAAGAAGTAAGAGATTAACACTAATTGATCCTTTGTTACAACACAGGTAGGTTACATTTACATATGATTTACATGTGTAATAGATGCAAATATATGTAAATTCTATGTATCTCAGGACAACACAGAAACAGCAGATGGTGTTGTCTTTGACTTACTAATGAGAAAGCTGAGCCAAAGAGTGTTTAACTGACTTGATCAAAGTCATATGTTCCTTAAGGAAAGCAGAATAGGATTCATACTCAAGACATCTGGGTTCTTTCTATTGTATATTCCCAATGGTGTCGTAGAGGTGATAATACTGCTATCATACCTAATATCAGAGAATCTGTGGGTTCTTTAATAAATGCAGGCTGGACTGTATGACATTTGGGTCAGTGATAGATTGTACCTATGACAGGGTCCCATGAGATTGGATCACTGGCTGACATTGCCATTGTGTAAGTACCTTTATGATGTTTGCTCAATGACAAATGGCCTAGGGACACATTTCTCAGGACTAGTCCTGTCATTAATCAATGCAGGGCTGAAATTGGTGTTTTAAGAATAGCCATAGATGCACCTATTTTCTGGTGTGTATATGTGTAGACCAGTTCTGGGGCTTGAATTCCAGGCCTGGGAATGGTCCTTAGCTTGGTCCTTAGACTAATGTTCTATTACTTGAACCACAGTTCACATCTAAATTTTAGGGTTTAGTTGGAGATTAGAGTCTCACAGATTTTCCTGCCCATGCTGACTTTGAACCACAATCTTCAGATCTCAGCCGCCCGAGTAGCTAGGATGACAGGTGTGAGCCACTGGTGACCAGCTCCAAATGCACCTATTTTGCAGCCAGCTTTCTTTGTACTTTAGCCTTAGAGATGTAAAATTCATCTTGCTTGAAAAAAAAAAAAGGGTTGCTATTATATCAAAATTTGACCATTGTGTCTCGCCATAGAACTTTCTGCCATTGATCTGCTATGTGCCAGGCCATGGGCTAGAACAACGATCAAAACAGAAGACCCTGCCCTTGTGAAGATTATAGTCTAGCAAAGAGAGGCCTGGGCAGACCGTAAGCAGTAGATGCCATGGGAAGAAGGCATGGCTCAAGTAAGAGTGTGCCAGTCTAGCAAACTCTTGGCCCTGAGTTCAAACTCCAATACCACCAAATAAAGTACACATTATAAATACGTAAACCATATGCCTCAGTCCCATAGGAACAAAGAAAAGTAGAGTAGGGTAGGGGCTTTGGGGAATGGAAGTGGTAGAAGGGGGAGGTTTCCTCTTAAACAGAATGTTCTGGATGGGCCTCTCTAGAATACAAGTGATAGAGCAGGATGTCTCTTGGGTCTGTAGAAGGTAGACTAATGTGGGAGTAAACCCTTTGGGAGTGAGGCCTACTGGGAGGAAGTTAGGTCATTGGGCCTGCTCTGGAAGAGGGTATTAGCTCCTTCCTCTTTTTTTTTTGGTCAGTTGTGGGGCTTGAACTCTGGCCTGCGCACTGTCCTTGAGCTCTTCTGCTCAAAGGCTAGTAGTGCTATACCACTTTGAACCACAGCTCCACTTCTGGTTTTCTGGTAGTTACTTGAAGATAAGAGTCTCACAGATTTTCCTGCCTGGGCTAGCTCTGAACCTAGATCCTCAGATCTCAGCCTCCTGAGTAGGTAGGATTACAGGCATGAGTTACCTGTGCCCAGATATACCTATATGAAACCTTTACATTCATGATGTTTAAGTCAGAGCACTCTCAAAAACACTAGATAGGGCTGAGGGTATAACTTAGCAGTTAAGTACTTGCTCTGAGTCTCACATGTATGAGACCCTGAATCCAATCCCCAGCACCACCACCACCACAACAAAAAAACCTAGACAAAACAATCCACAGACTATACATCCAAATAGGAACATAAAAATAGCTGGAATGTTTTTAAAAATTAATTTTAGTTTAGGCTACAGAAGGAAACTTAGAGCTTGATTAGATTTTGAATAGTTCACCTTAATGTTAAGGTAAATAACTACATAAAGCATGATGGCGCATCCCTGTAATCCCCAAGATGCATTGGACTCATTATGCAATGAAATAGTAGCAGTAAAAGTAGTAGTAGTAATAATAACAAAAAAAAAAAGACTGATATGGAGTTTGGTTGAAAGTTAGGGTCTCATTGTGTAGCCAGGCTGATTTTGAACTCTCCATCTTCCTTCCTCTTCCTCCCAAAGGCTGGGATTACAGGTATACACCACCATGTTCTGCTACCAGTCCTTTTCATACTCATTTTCCCCCTAATGCTTCTTACTGGGATATTGCAGCCCTCACTGGGGCTTGGCAGAAGGCTTCGTGACTTCCTACCATCTGCTGAGAGTCACTTAAAAGCTCATTCAGTTGCTCTGCAAACACTGGTATCCATCCAACCCCCTACGCCAGAAGGATCACTGGCTTCTGTTTCTGTCAACATCTCAACTCCAAGGTAAATGAGGCACCAGTGTTTCTTGGGGCTTTTGTGAGAAACTCGGGCTGATGCTCCATTGTTAGCAGTGGGGAAACGGCAGCTGCTTGGGAAGGTTCGAGTGAAATGGAACCAGGCATGTGGCGAGCACTGGGAGGATGGGAGCCATTGTTTCTGTGGATGGCGACTGCTCTGTCCCCTCCCACATGCAGGTAACTCTAAACCTGTTACATCATGCTGAACAAGAAAGGCTCAGCTCTGGACAGACACTGGTCGACATGTCCTTTATACTGTTAGGCTGCTTTTATGTTGAGCGGTCTGGAGCATCAGGAAAAAGTGGGGTCCACTGGGCCTCTGAAGTGAGGCTCATGGTTTCTCTCTCTGAAAGATGAGACTAGACCTGCTTGACCAACAGTGTATCACTTTATGTATTTTACTTTTTATTTTTATATATTTTGTCTATTTTTAGGTTTGTGTGTGTGTTTGGAGTAGTTGTAAAGTGGTGCTGTGATTCAAGTGTTAGAGCACTCCTCTTGAGCTGAATTGCCCAGAGAGGGTACCCAGACCCAGAGTTCAAGCCCCATGACCGACCAAAAAAAAAAAAAAATGGCAGGAAGTTTTGGAGCTGGGAAGGTGGCTCAGTGGTAGAGTACTTGCCTTGCATGCATGAGGCCCTGGGTTCTATTCCTCAGCACCACATAAACAAAAAGAAAAAAGCCAGCAGTGGTGCTGTGGCTCAAGAGTGGTAGCCTTGAACTGAAGAGCTGAGGGACAGAGCCCAGGCCCAGTATTCAAGCCCCAGAACCAATAAATAAATAAATAAATTTAAAAACATTAGAGTAGTTGTAGGTTCTGGGCAAAACTGAGGGAAAGTACAGTAATTTCCACACACTGCTGGTCCTCCCACATATCCATCCCTTGCCAGCTTTGTGTTTGTTAATGTAAATAGTGGACTGTTCCTATTTTCCAAAGATGGGATTGAAAATCAGAGGTGCAAAAATTATGTGGGCTTGATATCCAGTAACTACCTATATTTTATGTTTATAATTCCTTTTAGTCTTCCAACTTGTTGCTGACCCAATTGGCTCATTCCTCAATCTTACGCAAATTGTACCCTTGTACATAAACGCTTTCCGGATACATACTTTTGTGAGGCCTAGCCAGGCAGTGCTGGAACTGAGATGGCCCTGTCCCCAAGGAATTCACGTTCTGATGTTGTGAGATGTTGAGAGATGTTGTGTGTGACATTAAAGGAAATTGTCCTGCAATAGCTGGCAGGAAAAACAATGGACCAGAAACAGCAGAGGCTCTTTCTAAAGCTTCTCAGAGCTTCTTTTTCTCCTTGGTATGATTCCTTTATTAGAAAGGGAAAATGTAAGTAGACACTAATAGAAGGAAAGGAGTTACTGTGGTTTAGATCTGAGGTAACCACAAAGGCCATAGGTGGAAGGTGCCATGTATCCTGTGGGATTCGATGTTAGGACCTGAGGCCTTTGGGGAGGAAGTTAGGTCAAGAGGCCTGTCCTGGAGGAGGTGGTTAGGATGCTGCTCTTTATCTTCTCTGCTTTCTGGCCTCCAGGAGGGGAGCCGTTTTGGTTCTGCCATACCTTCCCATCACTTGCCGTGGACTGCAATTCTCCACAGCTGTGAGCAAAAACCAACCCCCCCCCTTTTTTTTTTGCCAGTCCTGGGGCTTGAACTTGGGGCTCAGGCACTGTCCCTGAGCTTCTTCTGCTCAAAGCTAACACTTTACCACTTGAGCCACAGCCCCACATCTGGCTTTTTCTGAGTAGTTTATTGGAGTCTCACCGACTTTCCTGCCAGGATGGCTTCAAACCACCATCCTCAGAGCTCAGCCTCTTGGGGTAGGTAAGATTACAGGCCTGAGCCAACCAGCACCCACCTTCTTTCCTCCTCCTCCTCCTCCTGTTCCTCTTCTTCCTCCCCCCTGGGGAGGTGCCTTCGCACCGGCACCCTCAGACCTCAGCCTCCTGAGCGGCTGGGATTTCGGGTGTGCGCCCCAGCGCCGGGCGCTCTCGCAGTGGGTTGGTTCAGGAGCCCCAGCGGAGAGCGGGGCGGGCTGCGCAGGCGCCCTCCCCCGCCGCGCCTTGCTCACCGGCTGCCTGCTTTGCCTCCCCTCTCCCCCCACAGGCCTGGGCAGCGGGATGGCCTACCTGCCCGCGGTGGTCACGGTGGGGAGGTATTTCCAGAAGCGACGAGCGCTGGCCCAGGGCCTCAGCACCACGGGGACGGGGTTCGGCACCTTCCTGATGACCGCCTTGCTCAAGTACCTGTGCTCGGAGTACGGGTGGCGCAACGCCATGTTCATCCAGGGCGCCGTGTCCTTGAACCTGTGCGTGTGCGGGGCGCTCATGCGGCCGCTGTCCGCGGGGAAGGACGGACCCCGGCCGGGAGCCCAGGCGCCCCGGGTCCTCCCCGCGCCCTCCGCCGACTCGGTGAGGTCCGCGGAGGAGGAAGGCGGGCCCCGGGACGAGGAGGCGCCGCGTGACCTTCAGGCCCCGGAGCGCCAAGGTCCGCCGCGGCCCGGGCGGGGCCCGCGCGCCCTGCGGCTGGTGAAGGCGGCCGGCCGGCTGCCGGGGCGCATGCGCCGGGGCTTCCGCGAGTGGCACGCGGGCTACTTCGGCGCCGCCTCGCTCTTCACCAACCACGTGTTCGTGGCCTTTGTTTTCTGGGCGCTGTTCGCCTACAGCAGCTTCGTCGTCCCCTTCATCCACCTCCCGGAGATAGTCAACCTCTACCACCTGTCGGCGCAGAACGACGTCTTCCCGCTGACCTCCATCATCGCCATCGTGCACATCGCCGGCAAGGTGGTGCTGGGCGCCGTGGCCGACCTGCCCGGCGTCCGCGTCTGGACCGTCTTCCTCCTGGCCAACCTCACGCTGGGCCTCAGCATCTTCCTCCTGCCCCTGCTGCGCACCTACGCCGGCCTGGCCGTCATCTGCGCCCTCATCGGCTTCTCCAGCGGCTACTTCTCCCTCATGCCCGTGGTGACCGAGGACCTGGTGGGCATCCGACACCTGGCCAACGCCTACGGCATCATCATCTGCGCCAACGGCATCTCCGCCTTGCTGGGACCTCCGTTCGCGGGTGAGCCCCCCCTTCCTCCCCCCCCCCCCCCAGCAGGGCCCAGGAACTCTGATCAACCAAAGCTCAACTACAAAAGATGCCTCTGAAAGGGGCCACTGCTCAGCCTGTAACCCTAGCTACCTACTCAGGAGGCTGAGATGTGAGGATTGAGGTTCAAGGCCAGAGCAAGCAGAAAAGCCTGGGGGACTCTTATCTCTGATGAACCAGAGGGAAAAGAAAAGCCAGAAGTAGAGCTGCGAATCAAAGGGTAGGGCGCCTCCAGCCTTGATATGAAAAGCTACAGGACAGCATTCAGGCCCTGAGTTCAAGTACACATGCTCACACACACACACAAATAATTTTACTTACAACACCTTCACAATGGTAGATGAAACAGAGTTAATTGTGTCGTATAACCCATAGAGTCCAGGGCCTAGATGGAACTCTGAAATCCTCTCTGCTCTCATGCTGATTGCCTGTGATCACAAAGCACCTACTGTGGCTCCAGACAGTACACCGTCACTTATAGCAGGGAAGGAAGAAGGAAGAAAAGGCTTAGTTCTACCAGAATCCCACTTATCTCCAATTAACTAGAACTGTGGGGAGTTGGGAACGGGAGTAATGTGCTTTCCTAGACTCACTAGTAGAGGGCTTACAAGGGCTTTTCCTTCAGTGTCTGTTGGCTTCTCTCTTTCCACTGAACTTGTGCAAGAGGGAAGCAGCCTGGCAGGCTGCCTACATTATGTTCTATTCATTAACTCTCTGGGCCAAGCAGCTAATGTCAAAATGAGATGCAAGCCCAGCACTTAGGCCCTGTAGAGTCGCTGTGACGAGCAATGTGAGAGCTTGAATAACTACATTACATTCTTGCTAGCAACTCATGGTGGGCTGGAAATGACTACTTAGCTGGGTATGCTGCAAAGAAAATTGCTGCTTATGTTACCTTTTTTTATATAAGTACATTCAGAAGTAGGTGTGGCCTCATTTTTCAGAAAGGTTCTTCTGCCATTGAAAAATCATACCATTCAGTACTATGTCAGACAATCACACATTTCCATTTAGAAGAATATATAATTGAATCATATCATTTAGCAACATGAACTTCTCCATCTAATTTACGCTATAATATTGCTGGGCATGTACCTCTCCCTTAAAGATGTAATAATAGCACATAGTTTTTTACATGCTTCCAATTTATAGTCTAGCAAAATTCTGCCAAATTTTGGATTTGGGCTGGCCAAAATCCATACCTGTCTCTTCCATTCGCATGAAGTCAACTACCTAATCAATAACAATTTGTGTTTCCTGTCAGGAGCTAGGTATGCACATTTTACCACACATGAAAAAGCTTCCACTTCGCAAGCTAGACACTGGTGGCTCACAGTGATAATCACAGCTGTTAGGAGGCTGAGATGGGAAGATTGCAGTTCAAGGCCAGCCTGGGCAGAGAAGTTCATAAGACTTCCTCTCAACCCATAGCTGGGCACAGGGGGGTGTGCCTGTCATTCTAGCTCTATGAGAGGCTGAACTGGGGAGGATTGCAGTTCCAGACGAGCTGGACAGAACATCTACTATATTATTGGAAAGAAAGTACACGTGGTGCTGGGCACCTGTCTCATGCCTTTAATCCCAACTACTCACGAGGCTGCGATTTGAGGGTCATGATTTGAAGCTGGCCCAGGCAGGAAAGTCTATGAGAGTCTCATCACCAATTAACCACCAAAAAGCCGGAAAGTAGAGCTATGGCTCAAGTGGTAGAGTGCCAGCCTGAGCACAGTGCCCAGGCCTTGAGTTCAAGCCCTAGGAGTGGCAATAACCACCACAAAAAAAATTGACGTGAGTTATTTAAGGCTTGGGGCAGGTGGCGATGGTTTCACTAATGCTTGCACTTTCAGGGGAAAGGTACAATGTTCATTTTATTTTTATTGCCATCTATTCACTTGCCCATTTCTGGGGCTCAGCAGGTTTCTGCATACACATATGCAGTTTACTCAGTCATGTTCACCCTACTGCTCTTTCAGATGCGAGATTTAAAGAAAAAAATACAATTTAGTTTAAGGCCCTTATATATTTTAAAGACATTTTTCTGTTTTGGAGAGAAAAGATAAGGGGCAGGTGATGAGAAGGAGATCTAGGACATTCTCCAAGCAGGGACCCCCTAAGAGAGGGAGGGCACACAGAAGAATTCTTTATTCTTATTTTATTTGTACTGGTCCTGAAGCTTGAACTCAGGGGGTCTGGGCATTGTCCCAAGGTTAGTGCTCAAGGTTAGCACTCTACCACTCGAGCCACAGCTCTAATTCTGGCTTTTTGCTGGTTACTTGAAGACCAGAGTCTCATGGACTTTCTGCTCTTAGCTTCAAATTGTGATTCTCAGATCTCAGCCTCCTGAGGAGCTAGGATTACAGGCCAGGAATTCTTTTGAAGCTGCGTGAAATGTCTCCTGTGGCTGGGTGAGGCCAGATCAGGGAGGGAGGCCAGACCACTTCATAGAGCCCTGAGCTCTGAGCACCACTTCAAAGGAAAGTGCAACAACAGACTGCACCAAATGCAGCCATCTGGGATTTGCCAGCCATGTGGGATTCCATCCAGTTTCCCAAGACAACGAGAAGCAGCACTAATAATAGTCAAGCTACTTTAACTGTCAGCATTTGTGACTCTAAGACTCCTGTTGACTCTCACAAGGACCTTAACTCTTGAATGACAGCGTCAACTTTTGTCAGGGATGAAAAGACTAATGAGAAACTAATTTTGGTGTGTGTGCCAGTACTGGAGCTTTGAACACAGGTCATTATACTCTCGCTTGTTTTTGTTTTTGTTTTTTTCCACCCAAAGCTGGCACTGAGACAAACTTTGATCCCTTGACCTCTGCCTCCTGAGTAGATGAGATTACAGGCATGAGCCACTACACGTAGTCTTTAGCATTTATATTTTACCCTAATTGAAATTCTTGTCTGTAGCTTAGTCTTGTCGGTTTTCATACTTGGCTATCTGGGAACTGTAACAAGAGATTGACTCAGAATTAGTCACTCAAGTAAATAAAAAGTGTTTCATAGTTGTTGAGAACTACATTTTAATACCACTGAAATTGAAATACATTTTACAAAGTCCCAAGAAAACATGAACTTGACAAGAATCTTTTTTTTCTTATTGGTATATAAGACTAATGTATATAAATGTGTTCGATTCTTATGTTAAAGCTTCATTTGAGAAGAACCGATAACAGCATTTAGTTCTGTATCTGGCAATTTAGAGTTTCAATTTTATTTTATTTTTTGCAGGGGAGGGTAGTGGAGACTGAATCAGGGCTTTGCACTCAACAAAAAGTGCTCTATCACTTAAACCACACCTCCAGTCTTTGTTTGCTTTTAGTTTATTTTTCAAATAATGTCTCTTGCTTTTGCATGAACTGGCCTTGAACCAAGAACTTTATACCTGAGTTGCTAGGGTCACTGGTGTGAGCTACCATATCCAGCATAACATTTTAAAGATTAAGCATTGATATTTGGAGAAAGGTTGATCAATGGATTCTAGGTTTCAATGAGGTAGGACCAACAAATTCTGGTGTGCACCTGCAGGGCAGGGTAACTATAGACAATGAAATGCTGTACATTTGAAAGGGCCAAAAAAGGATTTTGAAAAATTTTACCAGAGAGAAATAGTGCTTAAGAACATAAATATATCTGGTTTAAACATTATACAATGCACAAATATATGCCATTACAGGGCACCCCATAAATACAGATTTATAACTGTAAATGTGAATTTTTATCAAACTTGGAAATTTTAGTTCATTGTAGAACCTATGTGATGCTCAGATACTTCAGAATGAATGAAATTTAACTGTCTTTTTCCAGTCTCTTTGATATATACTAGAAATATCTTTTAAAAAGTCCTAAAGTTGGGGCTGGGAAGGTGGCTCAGTGGTAGAGCGCTTGCCTTGCATGCCTGAGGCCATGGGTTTGATTCCTCAGCACCACATAAGCAAAAAGAAAAAAGCTGGAAGTGGCGCTGTGGCTCAAGTGGTAGAGCGCTAGCCTTGAGCTGAAGAGCTGAGGGACAGCACCCAGGCCCAGAGTTCAGGCCCCACGACCGGACCCAAAAAAAAAAAAAAAAAGTTCTAAAGTCCAGGTGTTGGTGTCTCATGTCTATAATCCTAGCAACTCAGAAGGTTGAGATCTGAGGAACGTGGTTCCAAACCAGCCGAGGCAAGTCTGTGAGACTCATCTCCAATTAACCACCAAAAAGCCATAAGTGGAGTTGTGGCTCAAGTGGTCCTGTTAGCCTTGAGCCAGAAAGCTCAAGGATAGTGCCCAGGCCCTAAGTTCAAGTCCCAGGACTAGTGCATGCGCATCTGCGCATGCACGCCCGCGAACACACAAATACACACAAACACACACACACACAAGTCGTAAAGGTTTTGTTGTTTATACTGTTAAGAAGAAAAGAAGAAAAGGAGGAGGAAGAGGAGAAGGAGGGGGGAGGGGGAGGAGGCAGCAGCAACAGTGCCAGGTGCCTATGGCTCACGCCTGTCATCCTAGGAGGCTGAGATCCGGGGATCACGGTTCAAAGCCATCTTGGGCAGGAAAGTCTGTGGGACTCTTATCTCCAATTAACCACCAGAAAACTGGAAGTGGAGCTGTGGCTCAGAGTATTAGAGCAGTAGCCTTGAGCAGAAAAACTCAACGACAGTGCCCAGGCCCTGAGTTCAAGCTCTACAACCAATAACAATAACCGAGAAAGAGAAGGGGGAGAGAGAGGGAGAGGGAGAGAGAAGCAGAAGCACTGGATTGAGCTTTCACTGCTGCTTTTGTGCAGCTTGGAGTTAACCAGGACATGGAGCCAGGTCACCACTTCTGCAGATGTCTCCTGAGATGCCCAATGGCCCAAGTGGCACCTGTGGCTCACGCCTTCCATCCTAGCTACTCAGAAAGCTAAGATCTGAGAACTGCAGTTCAAAGCCAGCTCTGACAGACAAATCTGTGAGACTCTTATCTCCAGTTAGCCAGCAGAAAGGCAGAAGAACTGTAGCTCAAATGGTAGAGCACCAGTCTTGAGTGGAAAAAGCCAAGCAAGAACATCAGGCACAGAGATCAAGCCCAAGTGTCATAATAAACATTAAAGAATAAATTAATAAAGAAAAAAAGAACTGGGGCTGGGAAGGTGGCTCAGTGGTAGAGCACTTGCCTTGCATGCATGAGGCCCTGGGTTCTATTCCTCAGCACCACATAAGAAGATAAAAAAAAAAAAAGCCAGAAGTGGCGCTGTGGCTCAAGTGGTAGAGTGGTAGCCTTGAGCTGAAGAGCTGAGGGACAGCGCCCAGGCCCAGAGTTCAGGCCCCATGACCAGACCCCCAAAAAAAATTAAAAAAGGAAAAAAAAGAAAAAAAGAACTATTTGCAAATCTTTACTTTGTGTTCCTGAGTTTGGGCAGCTACTTACACTGATTATATTTTTTTTTGTTTTATAGGGTGGATCTACGACATCACCCAAAAATACGACTTTTCCTTCTATATATGTGGATTGCTTTACATGATAGGAATACTCTTTTTACTCATCCAACCATGTATTCGAATTATAGAACAATCCAGAAGAAAACACATAGACAACGCACACGTGTGAGAGTCCCATGTGCATTTCATCTCTGATTTCATTAGTTGCACGCCTACCTACCTCGTCAGGAGACTGACCGTGTGGGGTTGGTTTGTAGGATTGGGCTGGGTCACTTTTAAGAGCCGCTGTGATGGCTGAAGTTTAAGTGGCAGTGCTGGGCCACGTATCACGGGCCACATTAAGTTTTAGAGATGACTGTGTTTATAGCCTGTTAAATAACTGATACCGATGCACTTGTGGGAACCATTCTCTTTCATCCTCCACTGGGACTAGGCTAGGAGCTACAAACACACAGAGAATGGAAGCTTTCAAACCCAACAGGCAAAAGAAACAAAACTGCATGTTTCCACAAAATGCAGTGAGAACTGGGTTTCAAGCACACAGAATATGACTGCTTTTCTGAAATCAATTATTACAGGGAGTTGCTGATATTCCATATAGAACAAAGGCAGGCTTTAATTTCAAAACAATCCAATTTAGTGCAATTCAAGAAACGTGGTTTATATTTTTTATGAAAGCATTCTGCAGTTAGGGAGAGACAGCATCGGCTATCAATTGCAATTCAATTATCCAGTCACAAAAGATGACTTCAGCCAGGCACTGGTGGCTCACGCCTGCCAATCCTAGCTACTAAGGAGGCTGAGATCTGAGGATCATGGTTCAAAGCCAGCACTGGAAGGAAAGTCTGCAAGACTCTTAACTCCAATAAACCACCAGAAAACCGGAAGTGGAGCTGTGGCTCCAAGTGGTAGAGTGCTAGCCTTGAGCAAAAGAGGCCCAGGGACAGCACCCAGACCCTGAGTTGAAGCCCCACAACAGACAAAAATTTTAATGAGCTGGGCTCTAGTAGCGCATGCCTGTAATCCTGGCCACTCATGAGGCTGAGGATTATGGTTTGAAGCCATTCTTGGCAGACAAATCCGAGAGACTCTTATCTCCAAATAACCAGCAAAATACTGGCAAATGGAGCTGTGGCTCAAGTGGTAGAGTGCCAGCCTTGAGCAGAAAAGGCTAAGTTAGAGCATGAGGCTGTGAGTTCAAGCCCCACTACTGTCACACAGACACACACACACTCTCTCTCTCTCTCTCTCTTTCATAAAGTTAACATGAATCATGTGTTTCCCACCTGTATTTTACCCACAACCATTCAATCAAGGGCTATAATTCAAACACTCTATTCATATCATTGGCCTGTGTCTTTAAATTGTTTCTCCTGCCCAATCAGTATAATAGAGAACTCTGCCACCTCATATAACATATGAAGTTGGTGGCTAAGTTATTTCTAAAGAGTGTTGCTAAACTTATGAAGGCAGTGAGAGGACTCCTTTGGTCTGGATGTCTGCCGGGGACACTAGGGCACTGGTGGTACATGGCCCATCTCTAGTGTCTTCTGTTATATAGATCAGTCAGTTGCCTGAGCTCAGCAAGACTTTAAAAATAGTTCTCTTCATCGATTTCCTCTGTCTGCGACCTATATATACCTGTCTTTATCTGAGAAGTCTATTTTTCTAAGCCAAACACTTTTCAGACTGCAGAATATTCTTCTCAGAAGCATTTTGAAATTTCTGGCTACTGTAGTTGTTTATACACATCTTAAAATTAGGCAAATTTCTATTTATGGGGTGAGAGGCAGAGCTGAGTAGTAAAGCTCAGCATGTGCCAAGGCCCTGGGTTCTATCCTTAGCACCACCACACAAGAAATGGATACTCCAAATCTGCTCATCACACAGAATAAATCTCTTAGTATCACTGGCGGTGTTGATGGGCCAAATGTATCTAAAAATGAACGTGGCATAATCTCATTTATCCTTGATAATCAGAAGCTGCGACGCTCTTAGAAATTCGAATCACAAGTATTCTTTCTTTTCTTTTTCCTTTTTTCTTTTTTTTTTTTCCCAGGCCTGGGGATTGAATTCAGGGCCTGGGCCCTGCCCCTGAGCATCTTTCACTCAAGGCTAGTACTCTACCACTTGAGCCACAGCACCACTTCTGGCTATTTCTGTGTATGTGGTACTGAGGAATCAAACCCAGGGCTTCATGCGTGCTAGGCAAGCATATCACTAAGCCACATTCCCAGACCCAAGTGTTGTTCAGTCAGCAGTTTAGTTCCACTCTGAGTTCACCCTGGCTGTTGAAAAGGATTGAAAGAACAAATTTTCTTTGGCTACTTCTCCAATACTCTCTAAAGTCTAATGGGGTACAGGGACAATGAAAAGTGCACCCAAATAACAATAAGCAGCAGCTAACAGGACAGAGAAATGAAAACACTTCTAATAAATACACCAGAGCTGGGTACTAGTGGCTCTCACCTGTAACCATAGCTGCTCAGGAGGCTGAAATCTAAGAAGCATGGTTCAAAACCATCCTAGGCAGACAAATCCATAAGCCTCTTAGCTCCTATTAATTACTAAAGGCCAGAAGGGCAGTTATAACTCAAATGGTAAAGCACCAACCTTCAGCAGAAAAGCTAAGGGACAGTTAGCATCTAAGCCCTGAGTTCAAGTCCCAGTACTGGCACACACATATTACACTTAATATTAGCTCCAATAATTTGAGAATTGCCTGTGCATTATTACAGAAGATAAACTACATGCCATACTCCATTTGTTTTAGCCCATGATCTTAAGTGCTAAAGCAATGCTGTGTATATGTAGGATGATGATTGGATGACACCAAGATGAGTATTTTTCCAAACATTTTACTTCATTATATTCATTTGTCTCACCGCACCACTTAATTGTTGAATGTTTTGAGGTGCTAGAACCAATTCACTTGGCTGGTCCCCTCTCATTATACATCAGAAATTCTTTTGATCTAATGACCTAGCTTTAATTATGTGCATGTTACACATGCTCATGTCCTGTTTGTACAGTTGTTTTCTGGCGTCCTGTGTTTTTGGCAGTAGTGGCTTTGGAATCGAGGCCCCCATGGGACAAAGGCTGCTTGTAGTATTTGTGTTACCATCAGGACAATAATACAAAGGAGAGCAAAAGTTTCCTGTTTTTGTTCTTATCCGCAAAGCTCCAGACATACTTTCAAAGGCTTAGTTGTATGTTTATATCATGTGCTTTAAAGTTGGCTCTTCCTAGACTCAAGTGATTTTTATTTAAATATAACTAAATAAAGTTTGTCCTCTTTAAAGATGATCAATGAGTTTTTGTATAGGAAAAAAATATTTGGGGAGGGACTGTAAAGGGAATACTCCTGAATTGTAGTGATTATTAATTATTTTATCTGCAATCAGCTAGATAGATATTTTTATTAGTGGTACTGGGTTTGAACTCAGGGCCTTCTGATTACTACGCAAGCATTCAACCATTTAAGCCATACCTCGAATCTCCATACTGTGGAATTTATGACATTACTTTGAAAAAGAAAAACAAAAGATCAATTCTATGTGGAATTAGAACACAGTTTCAAATATATTGTTCTAAAAAGAAAACAATATGGTCATGTGCCAGTGCCTCATGCCTGTAATCCTAGCTGCTCAGGAGGCTGAAATCTGAGGATTGTAGTTAAGCCAGCTCGGGCAGGAAGGTCTGAAAATCTGATCTCCCAATTAACCACCAAAAAGCCAGAAATGGAGCTGTGGCTCAATTGGTAGAGTGCTAGCCTTGAGCACAAAAGCTCAGGGTGTTCAAGTCCCAGGACCAGCACCAAAAAAAAGCAAAAAGCTGGGCTGGAGGCATGGCTCAAGTGAGAGATCATCTATGGATACTAGCAATAGATCAATATATATAATATAAATCTGATGGTTTCTGTGATTGATAATACAGGTTTGTGTGTAATAGAAGACTTCTGAGAAATAAGAAAATTAACAGTGGTTGGCTCTGGAGAAAAATTGGTGGATGGGGTGGATTTTGTGTCTTTATGCATATAATTTTATTGAAATTAATTAAATCAAAATTAATTTATTTAATAAAATGTCAATTTAAAATTTGCATCCAGAATTATTTTAATTGTAGCTACCTGGGCCTACTTAGTGAGTTGGAACCTTATAGAGGTTAGGACCAACAAATCTGCCTTTTAAGTAACTTTAGCAATTAATTTTTTTCTTTTTGCCAATCCTGGGGCCTGAACTCTGGGCCTGGGCGCTGTCCCTCAGCTCTTCAGCTCAAGGTGAGCACTCCACCACTTGAGCCACAGCTCCACTTCCTAATTCTTTTTTGTCAGTTGTGGGGCTTGAACTCTGGACCTAGCCACTGTCTCTAAGCTCTTTCACTCAAGGCTAGCTCTCTACCACTTTGAGCCAGAGCTCTACTTCTGGTTTTTGAGTGGTTAATTTGGAGATAAGAGTCTCACAGGGACTTTTCTACCCAGGCAGGCTGGCTTTGAACTGCAATCCTCAGATTTCAGCCTCCTGAGTAGCTAGGATTACAGATGTGAGCCACTGGTGCCTGGCAATTTATTTATTTATTTATTTTTTGAGACACAGCCTCACTTTGTAAAGTTTGAGGCTGCCTTCAAACTTGCAATCTTCCTGCCTTAGCCTCATAGAGGCTGGGATTGCAGGCATGCTCATTCATGCCTGGCTCAACTGATATGCATAACATTGGAGATTCACTCAGCATATTCGAGCAAAATATTCCAATCAATTTCTCTATTCACTCTGACTCACATTATTTCCTTTCATGTAGGACTGTGGTCTATTATTATCTATAGGGTGCTCACAGTGGTTCATACTTCATTTATATAAGTCATTCACCTTTGCAGTTTTCTGATCAAAGCATTTGAACTGAAGCCTAGGGCAGGCAGGTGGTGCCAGTGTCCCTGACTGCTCATATGATGTGTGAAGAAGCAAAGCTGGGCCACATCCACCGAAAAGTGGCTGTAATAACAAAGCTTAATTTTAGTTGGAACTTTTTGCAGTGAAACTGCTGTGGTAATAGTAAAGATACAAAGACATTTTTCAAAAATGGCCACCAATGGCTCGTGCCTATAATCCCAGCTACTCGGGAGGCTGAGATCTGAGGATTGTGGTTCAAAGCCAACCTGGCAGAAAAGTCTGCTGCAAGTCTCTTATCTCCAGTTGACCAGCAAAAAGCCATAAGAGGAGCAGGCTTCGAGTGCCTGTGTAATGAATATGAGACCTTGAGTTCGAACTGCCAAAATCTGAAATAAAAATAAAAGTATTTTTACATTTTACATTCTTACAGAATGCAGTACAGAGTAAAATGGTTACTACCTGTTGCTTTCAAGGCATAGAGCAGACAACAGATGGAAGCTGCTCTTAGCCTCTCTAAGGTTACTTCAACTCAGTCTATGAACATAGGTCTATGCCTCTAAGAACTTTTGAGTAGGCAGAGCAGATTTTCCGACTAAAATAACTTTCCCTAGTGGTGAACTATGTTCCTGAGAACATGATCAGCAGGAAATGAAGTCCTCTGTAGCTCCTAACCCCAAGAGCTCCAAGTGGCACCCCAATTGCTTTTCAAGAGAAAATAGAGCTGGGGGCTGGGGGCTTACTCCTGTAACCTTAGCTACTCAAGAAGTTGAGATCCAAGGATCATGGCTCAAAGTCAGCCTGGGCAGGAAATTCCATGAGAATTTTATTTCCAGGTAACCATCAAAAATCTAGAAGTGCAGATGTGACTCAAGTGGTAGATTACCAGCCTTGAGAGAAAAAGCTAAGGGACAGTGCCCTGGCCCATACTAGAAGAAGGAGAAAGAAGAGGAGGAGGAGGAGGAGGGGGAAGAGAAGGAGGAAGAGGAAGAAGAAGAAGAAGAAATGTGAAGCTGAGGTGTTACACTTTGTACAATGACTTCATCCATATTGATAAGCCTGTAACCTAAGGTGCAGTGTTTCTGCAAAGGGATGTCACTTAGTACATATATATGCCATCTTGGGGCTTGAACTGGGCACTGTTCTTGAGCTTCTTTTGGCTCAAGGCTAGCACTCTACCATTTGAGCCACAGCTTTTTCTGTGTATGTGCCACTGAGGAATCAAACCCAGGGCTTCATGCACACTAGGCAAGCACTCTACCACTAAGCCACATTTCCAGCCCTCCCTCTATATTTTTTACATGCAACTATTGAAACCAGTGCTTCAGAGTTGAAAGGCTGGAGTCAGGCATAGTGACATATATTTTTTTGTCCCAGGTACTTGGAAGATCTCTTAAACTACCAGGAAAAAAAAAATCCCTTGAGCCCAGCAGTTTGAGACCTGCCTGGGTAAATGGTAAGACCTATCATTTGAAAAGAAAAATAAACAGCCAGGGTGGGAAAGCTTGGATCTCCACTCAGACTGTATTTTGTTAATACAAACTGAAGATGACCTACACTAAAACGTAGAGCACAAAACTAGTGTGCTTGTTTCATGTTTGTGGAACGATTGTTTTATGAGACCCAGTGTGCACTGTCTCAGGGGGCTCACCAAACAAACACATGGCACCTAGGGTATTGTTGGTCCCTGCTTCTGCCCCTTCTAAAAGTGATCATTTCAGAAAGCCTAACTTCTTGGGCCAAGTAAAATAAACAGTTTGATTCTATGTTAGAGGTGTAATACATGGGTTATGTCAACCCTGTCAAGACAAAAACAGTAGTAAAAGCTGACACTATGCAAAATAATATTTTCCAGTCTATAACTATTCACATTTGCTGTTGTCAATATTTTGGGGCTAGGGGCTTAGGCCCAGTGATAGAGTGTTTGCCTAGCATGCACACATGATTCTGAGCACTAGAAACTAAAAATACTGTAAAAAATCCATTGTCCTTACAATAATACATAATGAACCATCAGAAAAAAATTGGTATTTTATTTTTTACAATTTCAATGATAAATGGTAACAGCAGAAATACAGTAGACCAAAAAGATGAGAAAGGGCAAGGTTATAAAATGCTGTGACATTTCACACTGAAATGTTACATCCATGATAAACAAGCAGATTTATCCATCCACACGAGAGCTGTCAAGAGGCACAGTAAGCACAGCCTACCTATGCTGTTGCTGGAATGAGGGCCTAGGAGCACATGGCAAACAAGGTAGCAGAGAAAGGGCAAAGCCTTTCTACCCGAGGCTGCTGCTGACAGACACAACGTTAGGTTCATGATACTGTACGAATTCTGACAAAATAATAAGTTAGTAAGGTACTGAAATAGGCCGCATAACAGCTGACGTAGTAATGTGATTTTGGCTGAGTTAACCGTGGACTCTCACTCTGATATATATCTATATAGATATCAAGATCTAGGGCTGGGAATGTGGCTTAGTGGTAGAGTGCTTGCCTAACATACATGAAGCCCTGGGTTTGATTCCTTACTACCACATAAACAGAAAAAAGTTGGAAGTGGACACTGTGGCTCAGGTGATAGAATGCTAGCCTTGAGCAAAAGACACTCAGGGACAGTGCCCAGGCCCAGGGTTCAGGCCCCATGACTGGCAAAAAAAAAAAAAAGATACAAATATCTAGCTACCTCTATATCTGTCTATCTGTCTGTCTTTATCTGTCTGTCTATCTATCTTTTTTCTTCCACATGAAGATTTGCACTCGGGGGCACTTAACCAGGCAGTACTGTCTCATTGAATCATGCCTCCAGTATATACTATTTTGAACTATTTTAAGATAAGGTCTCCTTTTTTTCCTAGATCTTGATCTTGATCCTCCTATTTTACACTTTCCATCACTGGGGGGAGGGGGGGGGTGACGAGTGTGTGCCACCTCCCCCTTCCCATCCAGGTTCTACCATTGGGATGGAATGATGCAAATTTGTGTGTGTGTATGTGTCGATCCTGGGGATTGATCTCAGGGCCTGGGCACTGTCCCTGAGCTTTTATGTTCAAGGCTAGAGCTCTACCACTTGCGCCACAGCTCCACTTCTGGCTTTTCAGTGATTAATTGGAGATAAAGAGTCTCATGTGCCGGGCACTGGTGGCTCACGCCTGTAATCCTAGCTACTCAGGAGGCTGAGATCTGAGGATCGCGATTCAAAGCCAGCCAGGGCAGGAGAGACCGTGAGACTCCTATCTCCAATAAACCACCAGAAAACCGGAAGTGGCGCTGTAGCTCAAGTGGTAGAGTGCTCGCCTTGAGCTGAAGAGCTGAGGGACAGTGCCTAGGCCCAGAGTTCAAGCCCCATGGCCGACAAAAAAAAAAAAAAAAGAAAAGAGTCTCATGTGCTTTCCTGCCTGGGCTTTGCTTCCAACTGGGATCCTTAGATCTCAGCCTTCTGAGTAGCTAGGATTATAGGTGTGAGCCACCTGTAATGTAAACTTTTTTTCCTTGGCTGGTCTAGAACCATGGTCCTCCAGATCTCAACCCCCTATATTGCTAGGGTGAGACAATTATGTGCCACTGCACCTAGATATTGGTTGAGAAAAGGGTCTCATGAACTTTATGCCTGGGCTGGCCTCCAACTGTGGCCCTCCCACTTGCAGCCTCCTGTGAAGTTAGCATTACAGGTGTGATCCACCTTTCTTGGGTTTGCTATACGTTTTCACATATTACATATAATTTGTAGAATAATGAATCATAATATACATTATGCTGTAATATCATGTGTTTTCAAATGGCCTTATTTGTGCTTGTCAACTTTCAGATTCTGTCAATGTAGTTAATAATATACTACACATGAATTTTATTTTTGCTTAATCTTCCTACGTAGCCCTGGCTAGCCTCAAACTCACAATCCCCCCTGCCTCTGGAGTGCTGGGATTACAGGTGTGCACTATTACACTGAGCTACACATGAAACTTCAAGTTGTTGCCATTTTACAGTGATGCTACCATTGAGTTGTCTTTGCACAGACCTATTGAATAGCAAATTATGGTCATATCTGCATATGCCTGTTATTAACCTACGAAACCACAGTCACCCAGGCCATGAGTGAAGGAGAAGCCTGGGGATAGGAGGGAGGGGAGGATGCCCTCATTCATGCTGTGCTGCCGCTCGTCACCCTGTACCAGCTCATCATTCCTCAGGGCATGGAGCAAGGCCTGGTCTGTCAGCGATGAAGGCTTTGCCCTATCTGGGTGGAAAGCCTCACCTGTGAGGAAGCATGTTGCACCCCACCACACTTGTGTCACTGGAAACCCAGGCCTGGGTGGGACCTCCAATGAAGGGCAGGAACGCAGGTTGGTATGTAAATCTAGTGTGAGGGTTGGTGAGCAGAGGTCCTGTTCATGTATAATACGTGTGAGGCCCTGGGGTTGGTCTCCACCTCTACAAAGATAAAATCTGGTTTGCTATTTACATGAGTTGATCTAAAAGATTTAGAAAACACTCCTTTTCTACAAGAGTTGAAGCCAGGCACAGAGGCATACACCTGTATTCCAGCTACTTAAGAGGTCAGAAGATCACCTGACCCAGGTTGGACAACAATGATCCATGGTATCAAGGTGTCCCAGAAGGACTCAAGTGGGGCAAAGAGCCAGGCCCCCCTCCACCTCTGTACCACTCAGAGGGCCTGGTGCATCCTGAGGCCCTCACTGGTCCCACAGCTCTGGGAAAGTGAAAGAAGCAGGAAAGAAGAGTCAGTTACTAAGTTGTGCACAAATGCAAAGGGGCTTTGCTCTGTGACCTCAAGGAGTCATTTGCTGCTTCAGATTCATTATCTGGAGGTGATCAGTCATCGTGGAAGGGCAAGGGGAAAGAATATTTACACAATCCTCAGTGGGGAAGAATTTTTGTCCTCAAAACCATATTGTCTGTTGGCTCATGCCTGGAATCCTTGCTATTCAGCCGCTGAGAACTGAGGATCATGGTTCTAAACTAGTGTGAGCAGGAAAGTCTTATCTCCAATTAACCACCAAAATGCTGGAAGTGGAGCTGTAGCTCAAGTGGTAGAGTGCCATCCTTGAGCATAAAAGTTCAGGACAGCACCCAAGCCCTGATTTCAAGCCCCAAGACCAGAACAAAACAAAACAAAACAACAACAAAACACCAAAAAACCAAAACCATATTGTTGTGCTGGGCATTGGCAGCTCCTGACATATCTGAGGAGCATGGTTCAAAGCCAGCCTGAGCAAGAAAATCCAGGAGACTCTTCTCCAGTTAAACATACACACACACACACACACACACACACACACACACACACACACACACACACACACACACACACACACACACCACACACACACACACACACAGTGGTACAGCACCATCTTTAAAAAAAAAAAAAGCTAAGGGACAAATCTAGGAGACTCTTCTCCAGTTAAACACACACACACACACATACACACACACACACAGTGGTACAGCACCATCTTTAAAAAAAAAAAAAAGCTAAGGGACAGCTGCCAAACCCCTGAAGCCAAGCCCCGGTGCTGGTACAAAAATGTTTTTATAATCCTAGCTACTCAGGAAGCTAACTCTTAGAGGATCTCAGTTTGAAGCCAACCAAGGTAGAAAAGTCCTTGAGACTCTCACTCCAAATAAACCAGCAAAAAGCTGGGTTGGAGGTATATGTAGCTCAAGTGGTAGAATGTCAGCTGAGTAAACCAAGCAAGCAAGCACAAGCAGGCTCTGAGATCAAACCCTGGTATTGCAAAACAAAACAAAACAAAAACAAAACCTCAAATCCCTATTACACAGTAATAGTAATAGCGGTCTGTCTCCTTTGGGGAATAAGTATCCCTTTGAGAAGTGATAGATTCATTAAGCATCAGGAAGTGAGTGAGGGTCTGAATATAAAATCAGAGCCAAAAGTGAGGAGGATGGCTGCAGTCACCTGTAGTGCCTCCTATGACAGAGTCCCAGCAGTTCCCTAGTGCCCCTTCTGAACGCCTAGATAAAACATCTAATGAAAAGATGCTAAGAATCCTTTATTGCTTGTTTTCACACAGTGGAACATTCTTATGGTTCTAGCATGACACTGAGCCGCCAGGTTCTGTTGCGTTTGTGTATAAACGTTCTATGCCGTCTGAATGACTCCCAGAATCAGCAAATCTCCCTGCCCACAGGAAAAAGTGTCCCTAATGGTGCTTCTCCCTTTGGCCTCCCCGTCTCGGTTTCCGCCCATCTCTGTTGTTGAGCGGCGGCTGGAGCTGGAGCTTGTTGGTGAGGTATATATGTCTCCAGCCCTGGTCCTTGGCCAGGGCTCTCATGTCAGGCGTGATGGGGAAAGAGGCCGACTGGACTATCTGCTCCCATAACTTGTCCGACATGCACAGCTGTGGGCAGAAAGAGCCAGATGTGGTTAGAGCACATGGTGCTTCAGATGTTTTCACTTAACATAGTAGCTAGCAAGTTCCTGCTGCCTACAGGACAGACACTGAAAGATCCTGTGTGAAAGACAAAAGTGCCAGACACAGGAGTTTTTTTTCTGAGTCTTCGTTTAGGAAAGACACAAATACATAAACATCTATAGTCGATCTCATTCAGGATAGGAGAGACCAGCAGGCACAGAAAGTATGGCCACACAGCATGCATTTATCACCCACACAACAGAAGCTGACAACAATCTGTCTCCCCACCACCACCACCCCAGTGCTGGTGGGGACACTGGTAAATTGTGCCATTTTATTAATCATGAGTTTTGTTTGGTTGATATCTGCAGTGCTGTGGAGCAAAGCTAGGATCCTGCATGTGTGAGGTGAATGCTCTACCACTGAGTCACCCCACGTATCCCTGGTGGAGACTTTCTTCTTGAATCCTGGGCTTGCATAGTTGACAGCTTCGTTCACTAGGAGCTACTAGGGTAAACTACAGCAAAGGAAGAAAGTAGCCCTGGATTGTACCACTACCACCACCACCACCCAGGTCTAGAATATTCATCCACAAGTTTTGCCCCAAGTTCTCTACGTGTGGGACATGGCAACAAACACCAGAGAAGAACAAAGGATTCTGTCTTGTCTAGGAACAGGGAAAGGCATGCTTGTGCAGGATGACCTCAAGGAAGTGTTTTCTGGGACTGGGGCCTCTATCAAGTATCACAAAGAGTTTGCCAAGACCTCTCTAGCCCTAGGTGATTTTGCAGGACAAGATTGGGTCCTCCTGCCATGTTCTAAGCTGCAAAAATTCAGCTTCCACTTATCCAGGGTTTCAACCTTTCAGCCAACAACATTAATTATGTCAGCTATTCTTGTTAACCTTCTGCTAGTAAATGCTAGCAAATAGAGAAGGCTGGGGCTGGGGCTGTAGCTCCAGTGGTCAAGCTCTTGCCTTAGGTATTGATTACATTTATTTGTTACCTCCAACCTTCGTAAGATAAGTGGAGGCAAGAATGTGAATATCCGCAGGTGCTAGGGTATTTGGTGTCACATGGTGGCAACCCCAGGTAATACAGACAGGTGCTTTTAGAAGGATTCCACATGGGTCAAGGAGGGACAATGTCCTGGCTCCAATTACCTGTGCCAATGGAGGAAGTTAATCACCAGCCTCATTTCCCTTGCATCTCTTCTATTCTGTGGTTGTCACATGTGAAAATCCAGAAGTGGAGAGAGAGTGAAGCACAGTTGGGGACATTAGGTAGCTCACAGTTCTTTTGTACTCGTGGTATCAGGGCCCATTCTGGATCCTTCCTCTGTAGGGACATGCCTAAGTCACCCAGGTAACTGGCATCTTTTACACGCAGACATAAATAGATCAATAAGCAAGAAGCTCAGAGGCCCCTCCGAGAGTACGAATCGAGATCAGCTAGTTATGGATTAGGGCAGATATCCCTGTTTAGGGGAACAGAGAGAGCCTACTGTATAGACAGAATGAAAATCAGGTTGACCTATTTTTATCCCTTAAAATTCCTTTTTAGGGGCAATGCTACTACGTGAATATTAGAAGTAAATAGGCCTGATTAAAAAGAAAAACTCCAATTCTACAATGCTGAATCCAATTGCACTCTATTCAGAGAGAGAGACAGAGAGAGAGAGACGAGAGACAGAGAGACAGAGAGAGAGAAGAGGCTGGGAATGTGACTTGGTGGAATGCCACATATACAATATCACATACACAGTATCACATACACAGAAAAAAGCTGAAAGTGGCACTGTAACTCAAGTGGTAGAGTGTTAGCCTTGAGCAAAAGAAGCTCAGGGACAGTGCCCAGAACCTGAGTTAAACTCCAGAACTGGCAAGAAAGAAAGGAAAGAAAGAAAGAGAGAAAGAAAGAAAGAGAGAAAGAAAGAAAGAAAGAAGGGAGGGAGAGAGGGAGGGAAGAAAGGAAAAACAAGAAAGAAGGGAGGGAGGGAGAGTGGAGAGATGGGGGGAGAAGGAGGGGAGGGGTGTTAGAGATTTTAGCCCGGAACCTCTAAAGAAACATGAATTGTGACAAAGAGAGAGAAAGGCCCTGGCTTCTAAAGCCAGGCTAAAACTGCTGTCAAGAAGCAGTATAGGCTGGGTGTTGAGGTGTATGCCTGTCATCCTGGCCCCTGGGAGTCTGAGGAGGAAGAATCGTAAATTCAAAGCCAGTTCAGGAAGCATAGGAAGACCTTGTCTCAAAATATTGGGCAAAGGGGAGCTGGGGTTGTGGCTTGAGTGGTATGAGTGTGCAAGGCCCAGAGTTCAAATCCCAATATTGCTGGATCAAAAAGCACCACTATGAGTAGAAGGACTGTGTGGGGCATGTGCAGAGGGGGTAAGTAGACAGATTGTAGACATTGAAGGATCCATCTGGTTAATGAGTTACACTAGGAGAATTAGGGAACAAAAATTAAGGATGAGCTTTTTGGCCTGAGCAATATTACTTATGCTGATGATGGGAAATAATGAGACTTGGAGAAGAAGGCATGTGAGTAGCCCATGTATGGGAGAAAATCGAGGTCTGATTTTGATGTGTTAGAAGCTGAGATAGCTGTAATACAGCTAAGTGAACCTATTGGCCACACAATGAGATAAAAAGGAAGGGCTGCAAGGGAGCAATCTGGGCCTAGAAACAGAAAAGCTTAAACCACGTGGGCTAGATGTAGTAGGAGATGCCTTTAAACCAGCTATCAGAAGGCAAAGGTTAGGAGGACAGCAGTCCCAGGACAGCCTGTGTAAAATACATAAGATTCTATCTCAAAACCCAAGAGAGGCAAATGGACTGAGGTTGTGCTCAAGTATTTGCCAAGCAAGGATGAAGCCCTAAATTCGATTCCTGGTACTGAAGCTAGGTGCCAGTCGTTATGATCCTAACTACTCAGGCTAAGCTCTGAGGATCAAGGTTCAATGACAGCCAGGGCAGACAAATCCAAATAACTAGCAAAGATCTGGAATAAAGGTGTGGCTCATGTGCAGACTAAAAGAACCAACCTTGAATGAAAAAGCCAAGCAAGAACCCCTAGTTTCAAAAAAATTCCCTATAAGGAGTAGAGAGGAAATAAAGACCAGTAAGTGCCTCATACTTGTAATCAAAAGGCTGAAATTGGAGGATTGCAGTTATTAGTAGCCTGGGCAAGAAAGTCCATGAGACTCTTAGCTCCAATTAATCACCAAAAAGCTGAAAGTAGAGATGTAATTCAAGTGGTAGAGTAATAGTCTTGAACAAAAAGCTCAGTAACAGGCTCAGGCCCTGAGTTCAAGCCCAGGACCAGTGTGTGTGTGTGCGTGCGCGCGCGCGTGCGGGCTCGCACGCACACACAAACACACACACACACATACACACACAGAGTCCCTGGAATATATGTACTTAATAAACAGGAAATGGTCATTGAACAGCTTGTTCCTATACTTATTCTATTACAGGACTAGAAAACAAGGCCCTGTAAGCAGTTAGCCCCCACATGGACATTCTGCTGCTATGATCAGGAATCTGGAGAGGCCCGAACAGCCAATAGTTCACAGGATGGAAAATTAGAAGTCTATTACACATACAATTACATCATTGAGCCATATATTTGTAGACAAAGACTAATATGACTGATTAATGCATGTTCACTGAATTAACACTAGAGGAAGTACTTCTCTTTTCCAGTTTGTCATTTAGATGAATTTAAGAACCCAATTGTCTATCCTTAATCTATTCAAGCAGAGATTTCTTTAGAACCTAAATTTGCCACACAAGATAATACTGAAAAAGGCAGATTCAGAGAGCCAAGTGGCTCACACCTGTAATCATAGCTCAGATCTCAGGAGGCTCAGATCTGAGGATTATAGTTTGAAGCCTGCCTAGCAGGAAAGCACATGAGAGACTCATCTCCAATTAACTACCAAAAAAAAAGCCAGAAGTGGAGCTGTGGCTCAAATGGTAGAATGCTAGCCTTAAGCATAAAAAAGCTCAAGGACAATGCCCAGATCCTGAATTCAAACCCAAGATCAACATGGGGAAAAACAAAAGAGGAAGATTCAGTTAAAGAGTTACAACATCTGCTATAAGGATAGAATGAAATGTGAATGAAACAGCCTACATATCAGCTGCATTTAAAGCCTTGTAGCAATTGTAATGCTGATCCTCCTTTCAGAGAAGTTTCTAGATCGTAGGCAGCAGACTGAAGACAACTGGAGTCACCAGTACAGTCCATTCCAGATGTTCTAGTGAGACCAGCTCTGGCCAGTGCATGCCCTGTGGGCTGCAACAGCACTGTCCTTAAGGGGCGAAGCTGAGCTTTCAGAGACCAAGCTGGGTGGCTGGCCTGGTGCCCCATGAAAGCCTGACTGTCCTGCACTCTGGGACCCTGGCTGTCCTTCCATGCTGTAACTCCTCCTGTGCACAAGGAATCAAATGTCCTCCTACAGCTGTCTGAGGGAGAACTGAATGTGTCCACAGCTACCCCTGATGATAGACATCACAGAACTTCTTCTGGCCAGCCCCAGCCTCTCAGAACCTAAGCGACCCCCATCCCAAAGAGCCAAATGTCCCACTCACCCAACCCCTGCTAGGCCTTCGCTCTGTCCTGCACTGTTCTCACAAGTCTTCACTTCTTCCTGGGGCAGGGGAAGAAACCCACAAGCCTCAGCTCTACTTCCCCAAGACCCACCCTGGCTTTTGAACAGGAAGGGATTGGCACACTACTTTGCTACCATTAAATTCTGTAGTTCTTGAATAAGGAAAAACAAATGAACTGCAAATAGACATGAATAGTGTCATAAAGCAAAGCTGCTTATGATCCTTTCCACATAAACATCAAGGCAACAACCATTACAGATCTGGACCTCCTTCAATATAGCTGCACTCTAACATGAATGTGAATGACCATCTCATTATTAGCACAATATACTTCAGGATATCTATGTGTCTTGTATAACAGAGATGATGGGAGAAAACAAGGTTTGAGGGCCAAGGAAAGAACTTCAAAACAGCTAAAGTCTCAACTAGCATTATGTCCACTTATGACAACACAATTTAGTCTGAAATTGTCTTGTTTCATAAATTGGTCTATAAATGACTCCCATCTAAGATTCCCAAGCCCTGAGGTTCTTTGGCCTGGCAGTTGCAGATTGAAATCACAAGGCATCCATCCAAGTGGGCTCTACCCATTTTGATTCAAATGGCTCATCATGGACCCAGCACCCCCTGGTAGTAGGGTACAAAGTTAACATACAGGAACCATGAGAGGTCCAAAGAACTAGTAGGTAAAACTTCTCCTTTTACAAAGGGTGAAACAAGACTCAGAGAAGATAAGTGTTTCATAAGGCTTGTGGTGAGGAGCAACTAGGACTGCAGCTTTCTGGTCATCACTGCTGTGCAAGTGAAGATGAAAACTCAGCCTGGGGGATGGGGACATGGCAGTGGTACTAGTCCAGCAAACAACTGAGTTCAAACCTAGTACTACAGAGGGAGGGAAGGCAAGGAAGGAAAGAAGGAGAAAGGGATGGGAAGGAGGGAAGGAGAGAGAAGGAAGGAGGGAAGGAAAGAAGGAGGGAAGAAGGGAAGGAAAATGAAAGAAGGAAGGAGGGAAGGAAGGAAGAGGGAGAGAAGAGAGGGAGAGAGAAAGGAAAGAAAAAAGAGAGGGAGGGAGGGTTCGCCATTCAGATTAGCCAAACTCTGAGAGACATTTCCTTGTTTATGCAAAAACTATAACCATCAAGCCTTTCAAATCTTCATTTCCTCATCCCTGGTACCATCCACAGGACTGGGTCAACATGGAGTTAGAGAAAGAACAGGTGGCCTGGTGACCCTGATTGCTGGTGGCATTGTGCTAAATGGATATCTGTCCTCTACTGTGAGCTAACACTACATGCACTCCAAGGCCAGTCCTGTTCATCCCAGAGACCCACCGAATCAGTGTCTTGTATTACCCTATGTGTCCAAGGTACAGAGATTATATGACCAAGGGTGATATGTCTGCCAGCCACTAGAAAATATAATTTTTAAACATTTCCAAACTCATCATTATGAAGGAAATCAATATCATTTTTCAAAAATACAAACAAAATAGTGCTTTGCCACTTGAGCTATGCCCCAGCCCTAGACTTAGTAAAGTTATTGCAACATACAACCACAATATACTGGGAGCTGACTCTGTGCCAGACATGCTGTTAAACAGTCAGCCTTGAGAGAAAAAAAGCTAAGTGCAACCTCGAGATCCTGGGTTTAAGTCTCAGTACTGGTAGGCACGTGCACATGTGCATACATGCGCTTGTGCAGACATATACACAAGAAAAATTCTTTATATCATCCTTACTTTTCCTATTTTATCTGGGATTATAAATCAGAAAGATAAAGCTGATCTGCTGAGAACAAAACTCTGTATAAACCATTTTCAGAAGAGAAATTGGAAAAGTGTAAAGTCAAAAAAGTTTTTGTTCAGGGCTGGAGATAAGGTTTCTGGTAAATGTATTCTGCAGGCTCAAGAGCTCTGGTTTCTAACCACACAAGAGATCTAAGCATTGCAGTTTGAAGCCAGGCTGGCCAGGAAAGTCCATGTTACTCTTCTCTCCAATTAACCACAAAAAAAAAAAAAAAAAAAAAAAAATGGAGCTGTAGTGGAGTGCTAGCCTTGAGCACAAAAGTGTAGGGACAGTGTCGGGTCTTGAATTCAATTCCCAGGGCACACACACATGCACATATACACACACAAACACAAGTATAAAAAATGGGTATAAGGCTGGGAAGGTGGCTTAGTGGTAGAGCGCTTGCTTTGCATGCTTGAGGCCCTGGGTTTGATTCCTCAGCACCACATAAGCAGAAAAAGAAAAAAAAGCCAGAAGTGGCACTGTGGCTCAAGTGGTAGAGTGCTAGCCTTGAGCTGAAGAGCTGAGGGACAGTGCCCAGGCCCAGAGTTCAGGCCCCACGACCAGGAAGAAAGAAAGAAAGAGAGAGAGAAAGAAATGGAAGGAAGGAAGGAAGGAAAAAAAGAAAGAGAAAGAAAGAGAGAGAGAAAGAAAGAAAGAAAGAGAAAGAAAGAAAGAAGAGAAGGAAGGAAGGAAGAAAGAAAGAAAGAGAAAGAAAGAGAGAGAGAGTATAGGGCGGAATTAAAGAGTTAAAAATCTGAACTACATGCTCCCTTAAGCTAGGAGGATCCAGGAAACAGGCTGTCCTTGATGAAGAAAAAACTCCCTCAGATCAGAAAGAGTTGCCCATGGACATAAATAATCTGGCAATAAACTTGTCCTCAGATTGAAATATAAGCAGTTAAATGAAAGTAATTTGCAGAGGGACATCACAGGTAAATGGAGCTCAGATATAACTTGGCTTGACAATAGGAATGAATGGAAAAACCCAGCAACCCGGAGCCATGTTCCATCTTCTAATAATTCTGTTCCTCAACGGCACTGAGGGCAGAAATCAGCCACCTAGAGAAACCTGACTTTATTTTATTGACTGATTGGTTATTTATTTTTGCAATGTGTATAGTAGCCATTTTGTTCTCTATAATCAGGAGCAGAGAACTTTTTTTCTGCCAAGGGCCATTTTAATAGTTAATACACCAAAGGCCACACAAAATTATCAGTACAGGCAGAAAAGGCCAGGCCAGTAAGAAGTTGTAAATGAGTTTTGAAGGCCCTGTATGGTCCACAGGCTAGACATTCCCCATTGGTGAATGTAAACACATCATCTTGAAAACTTCAACTACACACAATAAAGTTTCCTTTACTTTCTCCTTCCTTTCTTTTCCTCTTTGTTTTAGCCGTCACTCTCCATCACTGTCTTCCCTCTCCCCCTGGTCCTTTCAAAGCCCCATAGTTATAATCAAGTTCTACATACATGTGTATGCATACATGTGTGTATATTTTTTATATTCATTAAAGAGTTTGATCTAACTTCTGAGATCTGGAGGATCATAGTTCAAACCCAGCCTGGTTAGAAAAGTTTGAAAAACTCTGTCTCCAAAATAACTAGCAAGAAAACAGGGCTGGAAGCAAGGCTCAAGTGGAACTGTACCAGCCAAGAAATCAGGCTGAGTGTATAGAAGGCCCTGAGTAGGGAACTCTGAAGCTGAGCTGTATGACCAGGAAAAGGTTAAGAGGTTGATAGGCCGCCTCATCAGCATTTATAAGGCTGAGAACTGGATCTTTGAAAGGCTGAAACAGATAAAGCAGAATGGATATCTAAGTTATATCTAAGTTGGAGCCAGTTATTAGGGAGCCAGTTATTCAATATGTGCACAGACTCTGTTTCACGTCAATGATTGTTATAACAAAATAGATGTCTTGTTTTCTGCAT